TGTATTGTTAGACATATTTTCTAATAAATATTCAATATGACTCATATTTCTACTTTTCTATATTATATTCTAAGGACATTGTGAACAGAGAATAAAGACAAAACATTAGCTAGAACATCTCTGGAAACAGTTGCTACATAGTCTAAAACAGCAACGACAATATGTGAAAAATGGCAAAAGACTCCAGCCACCCTGGTCATAGACTGTTCTCTCTGCTACCGCACGGCAAGCGGTACCGGAGTGCAAAGGCTAGGTCCAAAAGGCTTCTTAACAGGCTTCTACCCCCAAGCCATAAAACATACAAATGGCTACCCGCACTATTTGCATTGACACACCTGCTGCTACTCGCTGTTTATTATCTACACATATTCACTTTACCCCTACCTACCTACATGCACATATTACCTCAATTACCTCGACTAACCTGTACCCCGCACATTGACTCGGTACCAGTACCCCCTGTATATAGCCTCGTTATTGTTATTTTATTGTTGCGCTTTTATTTGTATAAAAAAAAACATATTTAGTTTATTTAGTAAATATTTTCTTAACTCAAATTTTTCTTAAAACCGCATTGTTGGTTGAGGGCTTGTAAGGAAGCATTTCACGGTGAGGTCCACCTACACCTGTTGTATTCAGCGCATGTGACAAATAACATTTGATTTGATGATTTGTTGTGATATGCTCAGATCTGACTAACTCGTGGTCTTCTAATGACAGAGCCTTTATAGTGATCTAAAATACACCAAACTAAAATATAAACACAACACGTAAAGTGTTGGTCCCATGTTTCATGAGCTGAAATAAAAGATCCCAGAAATGTTCAATATGCACAAAAAGCTATTTTTCTCTAAAATGTTCGGCACAAATTTGTTTACATCCCTGTTAGTGAGCATTTCTCCTTTTGCCAAGATAATCCATCCACCTGACAGGTGTGGCATATCAAGAAGCTGATTATTCAGCATGATCATTACACAGGACAATAAAAGGCCACTCTAAAATGTGCAGTTTTGTCACACAACACAATGCCACAGATGTCTCAAGTTTTGAAGGAGCGTGCAATTGGCATGCTGACTGCAGGAATGTCCACAAGAGCTGTTGCCAGAGAATTGAATGTTAATTTCTCTACCATAAGCCGACTCCAACGTCATTTTAGAGAATTTGGCAGTATGTTTAACTGGCCTCACAACCGCTGACCATGTGTAACCACGCCAGCCCAGGACCTCCACATCTACGGGATCGTCTGAGACCAGCCACCCGGATAGCTGACGAAACTGAGGAGTATTTCTGTCTGTAATAAAGCCCTTTTGTGGGGAAAAACTCATTCTGATTGGCTGGACCTGGCTCCCCAGTGGGTGAGCCTATGCCCTCCCAGGCCCACCCATGGCTGCGCCCCTGCCCAGTTATGTGAAATCCATAGATTAGGGCATAATGAATTTACTTCAATTGACAGATTTCTTTATATGAACTGTAACTCAGTCAAATCGTTGAAATTGCTGCATGTTGCATTTAGATTTTTGTTCAGTATAGTTCCATTGGAGCCTGACTTTGTCCTATGGTCCAAACTGATTCAAAACATTTAGAGCCTTTATAGTGACCTAAAATAGTTCCATTGGAGCCTGACTTTGTCCTATGGTCCAAACTGATTCAAAACATTTAGAGCCTTTATAGTGACCTAAAATAGTTCCATTGGAGCCTGACTTTGTCCTATGGCCCAAACTGACTCATAATGTTTCTACTTATAGGTTATTCTCTTGATGTCATCCAATGAGGATGAGCTGAGTACCAGGCCGACTCACCAACTTCCTGCGGGGCTTTCCTGAGACGTGACAATGCCCCCAGGCACCACTCAACCTTATCAGACCAAATGTTATCTGTATGTACCTTCAAAAGTCCCGGCGGGTGGACAACGGATCTGTCAACACTAATCCTCTATTCCTTTTCCTCCGCAATGATCTGTATGTCAATACAGGATATGAATGTCACCATTCGAATATGAACGTTTCACAAGGATGTGTACTTACAGTAATAGACTCGTTTAATTGAATGAAATAACATGCCCATGTTTTTGTACATGTTGTTGATCTTTCCTATTCACTGTTGCAGATTCCATAATATAATTTCTGCATGGTAACCAACCAATGGTTGTGTGGGTCATTCATTCATCATTGTGTCCAAATTAATGAACACAAGTCACACCACTCTTTGTTTGTTAGCCTGGGTCCTACAGTACTATTCCTGGCACCTGTTTGTTAGCCTGGGTCCTACAGTACTATTCCTGGCACCTGTTGTCAGCTGTGTTCCTACCAGTCTCCAATTAAACCTTCTTTCAGCTGTGTTCCTACCAGTCTCCAATTAAACCTTCTTTCAGCTGTGTTCCTACCAGTCTCCAATTAAACCTTCTTTCAGCTGTGTTCCTACCAGTCTCCAATTAAACCTTCTTTCAGCTGTGTTCCTACCAGTCTCCAATTAAACCTTATTTCAGCTGTGTTCCTACCAGTCTCCAATTAAACTTTATTTTAGCTGTGTTCCTACCAGTCTCCATTTAAACTTTATTTTAGCTGTGTTCCTACCAGTCTCCAATTAAACCTTCTTTCAGCTGTGTTCCTACCAGTCTCCAATTAAACCTTATTTCAGCTGTGTTCCTACCAGTCTCCAATTAAACCTTCTTTCAGCTGTGTTCCTTACCGGTCTCCAATAAAAAAAAACATATTTCAGCTGTGTTCCTACCAGTCTCCATTTAAACTTTATTTTAGCTGTGTTCCTTCCAGTCTCCAATTAAACCTTCTTTCAGCTGTGTTCCTACCAGTCTCCAATTAAACCTTCTTTCAGCTGTGTTCCTACCAGTCTCCAATTAAACCTTATTTCAGCTGTGTTCCTACCAGTCTCCAATTAAACTTTATTTTAGCTGTGTTCCTACCAGTCTCCATTTAAACTTTATTTTAGCTGTGTTCCTACCAGTCTCCAATTAAACCTTATTTCAGCTGTGTTCCTACCAGTCTCCAATTAAACCTTCTTTCAGCTGTGTTCCTACCAGTCTCCAATTAAACCTTCTTTCAGCTGTGTTCCTTACCGGTCTCCAATAAAAAAAAACATATTTCAGCTGTGTTCCTTAATGGGCTCAAATGTGGCCAGTTCTTTTATTCAAAACCCATTGTAACACTAGGACAGAAGTTAGCGTGTCACCGGATAGGTGCGGCTGGTGTTATTCACATCCAGTAGAATAGAACTGCAATTACTAAATAGCCAGCTATGTGTGTAAAGTTTAGTTTGTTTCTAATGTGGGTGTTGAAATGTATTCTATACTACTCTAATGTATTCCATTCAATTTGATTCTACTCTACTGCACTCTACTGAAGGGAGACACCATCAGTTGCACAACTGAATGCATTCAACTGAAATGTGTGTTCTGCATTTAACCCAACCTCTCTGAATCAGAGTTGCAGGGGCTGCTTTAATCGACATCATCGGCACCTGGTGAGCAGTTGTTAGGGGTTAACTGCCTTGCTCAAGGGCAGAACAGCAGATTTTTCCACCTTGTTGGCTCTGGGATTTGAACCACAGACCTTACAGTTACTGACCCAATGCTCTTAACCGCTAGGCTACCTAATGTATTCAATTTGATTTGATTATTCTCTACTCTAGGCCTACTCTACTCTACTGTACTCTATTTTAATGTGTTCCATTTTATTTTATTATATTCTACTCTAGACCTACTCTACTCTGCTCTGCTATACTCTTCTCCGCTCCACTCCACTCCACACCTCTGCTCCGCTCCGCTCCACTCCTCTGCTCCGCTCCACTCCACTCCTCTGCTCCGCTCCACTCCTCTGCTCCACTCCACTCCTCTGCTCCGCTCCACTCCACTCCTCTGCTCCGCTCCACTCCACTCCACTCCTCTGCTCCGCTCCACTCCACTCCTCTGCTCCGCTCCACTCCTCTGCTCCACTCCACTCCTCTGCTCCGCTCCACTCCACTCCTCTGCTCCGCTCCACTCCACTCCACTCCACTCCTCTGCTCCGCTCCACTCCACTCCACTCCTCCGCTCCGCTCCACTCCACTCCTCTCCTCTGCTCCGCTCCACTCCTCCGCTCCGCTCCGCTCTACTCCACTCCACTCCTCTGCTCCACTCCATTCCACTCCGCTCCACTCCACTCCTCTGCTCCGCTCTGCTCTAGGCCTACTATACTCTATCTAATCTACTCCACTTTGTTTTATTCTATTCTAATCCAGCATACATTCACCAGTACACAGGGCATCACACTGGTCATCAAACAGCCTAGTGAAGAACTGCCATTCTGTAACTGGTCACCAGTACACAGGGCACCACACTGGTCATCAAACAGCCTAGTGAAGCAGGACATTGGATGTTCAAATAAGAACTCTAATAAGGCATAATTAATAACCTGCTATAAGGGGAAGTAATTAACTGCCTCTTATTAATAACAGTATGTCCCAAATGGCACCCTATTTGCTACATAGTGCACTAGGCCTATATAGGGGCGGCAGGTAGCTTAGTGGTTAAGCGTGTTGTGCCAGGAACCGGAAGGTCGCTGGTTCTAATCCCCGAGCCCACTAGGTGAAGAATCTGAGAGCGTCTGCTAAATGACTAAAATGTAAATAGGGAATCTATAAGAAATAGGTTGCAATTTGGAATATCATAGGCTATACAGGCTCTGCAAAGAGGAAAAAACAACCCGTTAATGAAATGACGTGCGAATGCAATCTCTACACACACAATATCCAGCCGTGTTTCGTAATGGCAGGTTATCACAATTTGTCACTTGAACATTTTCATTTAACATCATGGGTGTATTTTTTTTAAAGGATCGCTGACGTATAACACTCGGGAGAGGCATTTAACGTTCAACGTCACCTACTTCAGAGCTTTCGCCCCTATGGAGTCACTCCGGTATAACTTCGCAAACACATCAAGACAACAAACTTGAATGGTCGGTCGCGGTATGATATAAATGAACTGATTATGGAAGACCACCATTAGTTTATGAATTTTTCAACTGGACGGATATACAGACTTATTATAAAGCTTGCTCCTCTCTCTGCGATATCATGGGCGACCTGTGCCATGCATGGACCTACAGACCTTCCTTATCGATTGTTATTATTATGGTATCAATTTCATGTATGGTGCATTGTTCAGAGAATGCTGGAGCCATTGGAAAAGTGTACCCACGAGGGAATCACTGGGCAGTAGGTAAGATACCTATTATTGTTGCTATTTATATAACAGAATAATACATTATTATTGATAATAAAATTACAAATTGTTATTATTATTATGATCTACTTCGTTTTTTGAGATTGTGCTGGATATATGAAAAATGTGTTTAGAGATAAAACATTTTTTAAAAGATGGAAACCTTCACTGCACATACCATGCCTAATGGTGTAACACTTTTATGATTAAATTGTTGAACTGATGTAAAAAAAAATAAAAAAAAAAAATAATAAATAAAAAATAAAAAATAAGGACTTAATGTGGACAGCCGACTGTTGCCTATGTTTTGTATAATCACATTTTTCTAAAGTTGGTTACCCAGAAAGATTAGTATGCTATTTGGTGGGCAAATTACATTTCCTGTGAAAAGTTTAAGTGAAATGTTCCTGGGTGTTTGAGAAAGCTCAGAGCAAACAACGAGATTGTGAAGCAGGACATTGGTTGTTCAAATAACAACCCAGCGCTGAATGGTCTTACTCTCTCTCCAACCCGGAAGTGGACTCAACAGAACACTAACTTCAATATTCAATCTTCCTCAATGTTCATCCATACATTCCTTATACATTCCTTATGTACAAACTTTTTTTTTTTTAGGTCACTTAATGGGGAAGAAAAGCCTTGACAGTCTCTCTGGATCAGAGGAGAGTAGCAACAGGGACAGTGAATATGTATATATACCTTCTCCAGAGGAAGACAAGCTGCTGGATAGATATGTGCAGCCGTCCAAGCTGGTGAAAGGCTTAATCAGGGCTCTGGGGGGACTGGAGAACCAGAGACAGACCCAGACCCAGAGACAGGGACAGGAACAGGTTTTCTCTCGGATGGGGGTTCTCAAGACCACAAAGTGGGAAGAGACAGACAGACACCGATACCTCAAACAGGTTAGTAATGGTAAGAGGTTAGTGTCAATTAGGTGAATGCTGTTACTCCAGTCTTTCCCTTTATAGTATCTATGTACTCATCGCATCACAGTTACCATTCAACAAGCCAGCTCTATGTACTCATCGCATCACAGTTACCATTCAACAAGCCAGCTCTATGTACTCATCGCATCACAGTTACCATTCAACAAGCCAGCTCTATGTACTCATCGCATCACAGTTACCATTCAACAAGCCAGCTCTATGTACTCATCGCATCACAGTTACCATTCAACAAGCCAGCTCTATGTACTCATCGCATCACAGTTACCATTCAACAAGCCAGCTCTATGTACTCATCGCATCACAGTTACCATTCAACAAGCCAGCTCTATGTACTCATCGCATCACAGTTACCATTCAACAAGCCAGCTACTGCTCTCCTCATTTCCAGTTGGCTATTTATCAGAATATAAATGTTTGACTTCATTCTTAACTTAATGTTTGAGTTCAGTAGTAACAACATGTTTATGAAGTGTGATTATTTAAAACCAGTAATTATATTTTATTGCAGGTTTACTTGGTTCAGATATGAGTACTAAATTGTTGTTTTCCTGCATTTCCTCTCCGTAGCTGACAGACCTCATTCGACTGGCTTACAACATGAAGGAAAACACCGTCTTCAACTGAAGACCGCTCTTGACTGCAGCTCTCCTATGATGAACGACACTACACGCCTCAGAGACTCAGTTCGAATCATTGCATCCAGCACACCTGTTCACAATGTTTTGAAAACATATAGCCTATATTAGAGTTTACTTTATATGATATATAATAACATAATTATCATAATAATTACATGACATCATCTACTATTTATTGTATGCTACTCAAAATACCCCCCCCCCCCCCATCAACAACAATGTGTAAAGAACATAGAATAAATCTGAAATGGTTGTGATAACTGCATTGTGGATATCTGGGTATTCCTTTACATAAACATACGGGGGGGGGGGGGGTTCATACCATGGATCATTTAGCTATTTGATTTGGAATTTTAGGACCCCTTTAGGTATCCAAAACAAATAGAATTAAAAATAATAATAATAATAATATTGAATTTGGCTTTTACTACTATAGCCCATAGAAACACATTGAATAACACATTCATAAGTGGCAAAAAACACAGTCAAAAAATAAATAATAAGGAATAAGGTTTTGAAGTGTCTGCCTTATATCGAGGAGATATAAGTAGGCTCAGGAAATATATATTTTTGCTTTTTACACATAATGAACCACTTTTTTGGGTGGGCAGAAAACCACCTCCATACTTCCATTTTTTTTTTTTTTTTTACCTGTACCGGTTACCTTCAGATGAGTCCAGTGACATAGGTTCAGTCAAACCGTTCGGAAGCTACAGACGTTTTCATGAGAATACCGATTTTCGGGATGTCTCATGGTCTGACGAACACCGCTCTAGCTCTGTCACCTTTCACCCCAGATGTGGAAGTGCGACATCGGCGGATGTGCTGATTGAGACGCATCCAATGAAACCCCCCCCCCCCCCCCCCCCCCAGATATCTCTAGCTTAAACTGACGGATTTAGATGTGGATACATTTTTATATATGTTGCTTAGATTGATGCACTGGTGCTTCAATCGACTCTAGGAGGTGTATACAGTATGTACTTCATTTTCATCTGACAACGGGTGAATAAGTGCAGAGGCAACATATTCACCACAAGATGGCAGACAAGCGTCTCATCAGAGCCCCATTCCACTTTCTAATAAACACATTTCTAATGATATCATCTTTTTTGTTTGTTTTTTACAACATTTTAATCTATCTATCCATAATTTAAATCGGACAACAAATATGCATCCTTACATTTCTCTGAACGACCTAAGGTACTTGACGTTTAAAATATAAGCTTCAGTACAATTAAGTTATTTCTTAAAACTATTCAATTGCTGTTAGACGTTTTCGGCAACAATTTCGCAATCACTACAATAAGGCTATAATTTGGCAAAGGACATAATACTGGCTTGTATCGTTCAGTGAGCCAGCAATACATAAATCTAATGACAAGCTGATCTTTGTGAGGCATAACGTGCAGACAGACAGTAATTACATCCCAAATGGCCCCCTATTCCCTATATAGTGCACTACTTTTTGACCAGGGCCCCAATGGGAAAGTAGTGCACTATATGGAAAATAGGGTGCCATTTGGGACACATACAGGGTGTAAGGAAGGACTCATGCCTTTCTACTCAGCTGTCCCCTGACAACAATGGCCTCAATTATCTGCTCCAGACTTTCTTTGCAATGAGAAATGTTAATTGGAACAATTTCATTTGGTTAAGCGCATCCTGTTGGCACAAACCAGGCTGGTTCACCACTCTGTTTTCTCCCCTCATTTGTCACAGATAATAGTAGATAATAGTAGATAATAGATAGTAGATAGTAAATAATAGTAGATAGTAGTAGATAGTAGTACAGTCGTGGTCAAAAGTATTGGTCTTTACAAAGTTCGCTGCTTCAGTGTTATGAGATGTTTTTGTCAGATGTTACTATGGTATACTGAAGTATAATTACAAGCATTCCATAAGTGTCAAAGGCTTTTATTGACAATTACATAAAGTTTATGCAAAGAGTCAATATTTGCAGTGTTGACCCTTCTTTTTCAAGACCTCTGCTCCACCCTGGCATGCTATCAATTAACTTCTGGGCCACAATTCTTGGAATTTGTCAGAATTTGTGGGTTTTTGTTTGTCCACCTGCCTCGTGAGGATTGACCACAAGTTCTTAATGGGATTAAGGTCTGGGGAGTTTCCTGGCCATGGACCCAAAATGTCGATGTTTTGTTCCCAGAGCCACTTAGTTATCACTTTGCCTTATGGCAAGGTGGTCCATCATGCTGGAAAAGGCATTGGTCGTCACCAAACTGTTCTTGGATGGTTGGGAGAAGTTGCTCTCGGAGGATGTGTTGGTACCATTCTTTATTCATGGCTGTGTTCTTAGGCAAAATTGTGAGTGAGCCCACACCCTTGGCTGAGAAGCAACCCCACACATGAATGGTCTCAGGATGCTTTGCTGTTGGCATGACACAGGACTGATGGTAGCGCTCACCTTGTCTTCTCCGGACAAGGTGTTTTCCGGATGTCCCAAACAATCGGAAAGGGGATTCATCAGAGAAAATGACTTTACCCCAGTCCTCAGCAGTCCAATCCCTGTACCTTTTGCAGAATATCAGTCTGTCCCTGATGTTTTTCCTGGAGAGAAGTGGCTTCTTTGCTGCCCTTCTTGACACCAGGCCATCCTCCAAAAGTCATCGCCTCACTGTGCGTGCAGATGCACTCACACCTGCCTGCTGCCATTCCTGAGCAAGCTCTGCACTGGTGGTGCCCCGATCCCGCAGCTGAATCAACTTTAGGAGATGGTCCTGGCGCTTGCTGGACTTTCTTGGGCGCCCTGACGCCTTCTTCACAACAATTGAACCTCTCTCCTTGAAGTTCTTGATGATCTGATAAATGGTTGATTTACGTGCAATCTTACTAGCAACAATATCCTTACCTGTGAAGCCCTTGTTGTGCAAAGTAATGATGACGGCACGTGTTTCCTTGCAGATAACCATGGTTAACAGAGAAAGAACAATGATTTCAAGCACCACCCTCCTTTTAAAGCTTCCAGTCTGTTATTCTAACTCAATCAGCATGACAGAGTGATCTCCAGCCGTGTCCTCGTCAACACTCTCACCTGTGTTAACGAGAGAATCACTGACATGATGGCAGCTGGTCCTTTTGTGGCAGGGCTGAAATGCAGTGGAAATGTTTTTTGGGGATTAAGTTCATTTTCATGGCAATTAATTGCAATTCATCTGATCACTCTTCATAACATTCTGGAGTATATGCAAATTGCCATCATAAAAACTGAGGCAGCAGACTTTGTGAAAATTAGTATTTGTGTCATTCTCAAAACTTTTGACCACGACTGTAGATAGTAGTAGACAGTAGATAATTGTAGATAATAGATAATAGTAGATAATAGACAATAGCAGAGAATAGTAGCTAGTAGTAGATAGTAGATCATTGTAGATAGTAGATAATAGTAAAGAATAGTAGATATAGTAGATAGTAGATAGTAGTAGGTAGTAGTAGATAATATTAGATAATATTAGATAATAGTAGATAGTAGACAATAGTAGATAGTATATAATAGTAGATAGTAGATAATAGTATATAGTAGATAATATTATATAGTAGATAATAGTAAATAGTAATAGATAATAGTAGATAGTAGATAGTAGTAGATAATAGTAGATAGTAGATAATAGTAGATAATAGTAGATAGTGGCAGATAGTAGATAATAGTAGATAATAGTGGATACTATTAGATAGTAGAAAAGTATAGATAGCAGTAGAGCATAGTAGAGAATAGTAGATAATTGAAATATTAGTAGATAGTAGACCATAGTATAGTAGATAATAGTAGAAAATAGTAGATAATAGTAGATAATAGTAGTATATAATAGTAGTAGTAGTAGTAGAAATAGTAGATAATAGATAATAGTAGATGTAGACATAGTAGATAGATATAATAGTAGTATAGAAATAGTATATAGTAGATAATATTAATAAGTAGATAATAGTAGATAGTAGATAATAGTAGATAGTAGATAATAGTAGATATAGATATAGGATATAGTAGTAGTAGATAAATAGAGATAGATAGTAATAATAGAGATAGTAGACAATAGTAGATAGTAGATAATAGTAGATACTAGTAGATAATAGTATAAGTAGATAATAGTATATGTAAAGTAGATAATAGTAGATAGTAATAGTAGATAGTAATAGTAGATAGTAGATAATAGATATGTAGTAATAGTAGTAGAAATAGTAGATAATAGTAGATAATGATATAGTAGTAGACTATATAGAGATATATAGATAGATAATAGTAGATAGTAGATAATAGAATATAGTAAGTAGATAATATATAAGTAGATAATAGTAGATAAGTAAAGATATGATAATAGTAGATAGTAATAGTAGTAGATAATAGTAGATAGTAGATAATAGTAGATAATAGTAGATAGTAGCAGATAGTAGATAATAGTAGATAATAGTAGATAGTGGCAGATAGTAGATAATAGTAGATAATAGTGATGTAATATAGATATAGATAATGAAAAGATAGTAGATAGTAGAGCCTAGTAGAGATACGTAGAATTGAATATAGTAGATAGTAGATAGATAGTAGATATAGTAAAAATAGTAGATATAGGATAAGTAGATAGTAGAAGTTGTGATGTAGTAGATAATAGTAGATAGTAGATAATAGTAGATAGTGGATAATAGCAGGAAGAGTGCGGAAGCGATAACGTTTACTGTGCTGAATCTTAGTAGTGAATTCTAATTTCTACTTACACTTTGTAATGCAATAAAATGTGGAAAAATACTTTCCCCACATTTTATTGCATCACAAAGTGGAATTAAAATCGATTTAATTGTACTTTTTTGTAAACGATCTACACAAAATACTCTCTGTAATGCCAAAGTGGAAGAAAAATTCTATCATTTATCAAAAGTTAATGAAAAATAATAACACTAATATATCTTGATTAAATAAGTATTCAACCCCCTGAGTCAATACATGCTAGAATGCCCTTTGGCAGCGATTACAGCTGTGAGTCTTTTTGGGTAAGTCTCTAAGAGCTTTTACACCTGGATTGTATAATATTTGCCCGTCATTCTTTTTTCAATTCTTCAAGCTCTGTCCAGTTTGTGGTTGATCATTGGTAGACAGACATTTTCAAGTCTTGCCATAGATTTTCAAGCCAATTTAAGTCAAAACTGTAACTAGGCCACTCAGGAACATTCAGTCTCTTCTTGCTAAGCAACTCCAGTGTAGAGTTGGCCATGTTTTTTATGTTATTGTTCTGCTGAAAGGTGAATTCGTCTTCCAGTGTCTGTTGGAAAGCAGACTGAACAAGGTTTCCCTCTAGGATTTTGCCTATGCTTAGCTCTATTCCGTTTATTTTTATCCAAAAAAACTCCCTTGTCCTTGCCGATGACAAGCATACCAATAACATGATGCAGCCACCACCATGCTTGAAAATATGGAGAGTGGTACTCAGTAATGTGTTGTATTGGATTTGCCCCAAACATAACACTTTGTATTGAGGACAAAAAGTTAATTGCTTTGCCACATTTTTTGCAGTATTACTTTAGTGCCTTGTTACAAACAGAATGCATGTTTTGGAATAGTCCTTCCTTCTTTTCACTTTGTCATTTAGGTTAGTAACTACAATGTTGTTGATCCATCCTCAGTTTTCTCCTATCACAGCCATTAAACTCTGTAACTGCTTTAAAATTGCAATTGGCATCATGGTGAAATCCCTGGGCAGTTTCCTTCCTCTCCGGCAACTGAGTTAGGAAAGATGCCTGTATCTTTGTAGTGACTGGATGCATTGATCCATAGCCTAATTAATAACTTCCCCATGCTCAAAGGGATATTCAGTGTTTTTTTCTCTCTTTTTACCCATTTACCAATCGGTGCCCTTCTTTGCGAGGCATTGGAAAACCTCCCTGGTCTTTGTGGTTGAATATGTGCTTGAAATTCACTACTCGACTAAGGGGCTTTACAGATAATTGTATGTGTGGTGTACAGAGATGGGGTAGTCATTAAAAATCATGTTAACCACTATTATTGCACAGAGAGTGAATCCATGCAACTTATTATGTGAGTTGTTAAGCACATTTTTTACTCCTGAACGTATTTAGGCTTGCCATAACAAAGGGGTTGTATACTTATTGAATCAAGACATTTCAGCTTTTCATTTTTAATTAATTTCTAAACAAAAACAAATCCACTTTGACATTATGGGATATTGTGTGTAGATTAGTGACACAAAATCTCAGGCTGTAATGCAACAAAAAAGTCAAGGGGGTTGAATACTTTCTGAAGGTGCTGTGAGTAGAATTTTCACTTGGTCATGCATTGATGTAAAAGGGAAACTAAAAGAATACATTTGACTCAAGTGGAAGTTGCCTCTTAATAACTGACTGGGTGAGTTTCAATTGTGTTGGCTGCCATTTAAGACTCATATTACTTTATTGGCCAATTGCACACAAGGTACAACCGAAATTTGACTTCTGCTTTTAACCCAACCCCTCCGAAAGACACACATACACAGGTGTTTTTGGAGAAGTGAAGGGGGCTGCCACTCTGGGCACCTGTGGTTGTGGGGGGTTAAGTGCCTTGCTCAAGGGCACAATAGCAAGGCGATGGCATCTAGGATTTGATACCAGCAATCCTCTGGTTGCCAGCTCACTTCCCACCCTTCATAAGACTAATGTCCACTAGAGGGAACCAGACACCTCATTCACGTGTTCTGCTCTGCTCTGTGATTTGTGATTTCAATTTGAACTATAGAACCACTTGTTTTCTGAAAAATGAAAGTATTGAGTAAAAGCAATCCTCTTGGAAAAGACAGGAGTTATATTGTAAAAAAAAATATATATATATATGTCTGTCTTTTTCTCTCCAAATTACCTGTTGACTGAACATTAAGCATGCTGAGTCATCCAACTAAGATCCCATAAATAATGCCAATTGTGCATGGTGAAACTATCACAAATGATTTGTATACAACAACACAATAAATGTAATATGTGTCTAATAGGACATATGGTATTAGGCTATTCAGGCTTGACAGTTAATGAAAGAAGGATGAATGTGCATATTGTCGGCCTGGGGGTGGATGTAACTATACAGGTTTATTTCCATAATATCCTTCATGTACAGAGAGAAACTAATTACAGCAAACAGACATTTGTTCATCTACATTTCTACATTTGCAAAGTCAGCGGCACAAAAGGGAAAAATACTGAATGAAAGGTATCTAAACAAGGGCTGGTAAACAACAATACATACATTGATCCTGGGATGTGATTGTCTTAACAGAATAACAGAAGATAATTATTAAAATAGGGATGGAAATGATGACATAGAAACCAGGTTGAGGGCAACACAGACAAACATTTCACATTTCCACTTTCTCCTCAATGGCATCCTTCATTATTCATTAAAAGTAGACCATATGGATCCAAGCGTAACACTGACAGGTAAAGTTCATTATAAAAGGTGAATATCTGAAATTAGACATGGTTGTTCCTCCTCCAATACTGAGAATTCACACAACAACAAAAACACTGACTGGGACAATGATGTAAACCAATGAAGAAGAAACAACAGTTTGCATCATCTGGTGGAGAGGAGTCCTCCAGCACAGGGGACTTCCATGTCCATAGACTAGAGCAGAAGCACTACACGCAGTGGTAGTCTTTACAGGGTTCGTATGACCCCAGTCAGAGGGATGCAGACAGCATACATCCATCCTCACCATGTCTTCCCAATAGACTGAACATGCTCCTTAGCCTTCATCCTCAGAGATGCAATACTAGAATTACGAGGATCCGTCTCTTCCATAACTAACTTCTCCATGTACCCAGCCACGGTGCACTGGTATGGGGGCGGAGGAAGAGGACGCGTAGAACCAATGTGAGGCAGGTTATGGTGTCCGAAACTGGGGGAGTTGAGGAAGGGTGGAGGGGAATAGCTGGAGGCTCCTGGGAGGCCCTGAGAGGAGCTGGTAATGAAGCCGGGTAGGGACTGCAGGGGGGTGGTGGTGATGGCAGTGCTGAGCCATGGCTCCAGCTGCAGTCCAGAGCACAAGGACTGGGCAGGGGAGCGGCTGAAGGACAGGAGAGAGGAGGTGTCCTGGAGCTTAATGGAGCTCACCTCCAGCTTCTCCTGGCGACGCCACTTGGCCCGACGGTTCTGGAACCACACCTGAGATGGAATCATCACAACATTATGATTAGACATTCTAGAATCATCACAACATTCTGATAAGACATTCTGGATCATTACAATATTCAAAATTAGATCTTCTAGAACTCAGACATTCTGATCAGTCATTCTGGAACCACACAACATTCTGATTAGACATTCTGAAATGCAATATTATGAGAACAGCGGAAAGGATGATTACATGCTAAAACAGGATTTCAGGGCCATTTTAAACAAATCATGACAATATTGAAATAGTCTACATTTAACGCTATCAATGATAAAACAGCTGAAGGTAAGATGAAAGAAATCAGACAATCAGTGAGCTTATCTGCTGAGATTGACCCCTTTGCCAAAACATGTCAACTTCCAAAAAACTTTCCTGTGTCAAATCAAATAAACTAAATTGCCTAATTCTCCAAAAATGAAGTACAACTTTGGTAGGCTATTTGAGAAATAATGTATTTGCATTTAATATCTATAATGGGAAAACATATTGAATATTAATGTTGACTGTCCTCCTTGGTGTAATAAAATAGTTATTGTCATGTTATTAATACATATTGGACATTTTATAGATTTAAAAAAGCACGTTCATAATCAAAATAATAAAGAAAACGTTAAAATGGAATTGCTTGATATGACTAACTGAAAATATTAACAAATATAGGCCTAATATATATATATATATATATATATATATATATATATATATTTGAGAGAATGTTTGCTGGCTACATGTTCTAAATAAATTGAGAATTAGTGATGATAGTAAAATGCTTAGGAGAAAATCTACATAGTGTAATTTTGCCTATTTTAAAAAGTATATAGGTCCTAAACTAAATGAGAAGTTTTAAGATAAATTAACTCCTTTTTACATATTTTAACGACATATATGAGACCAATTGAATACATTTTGAATAGATAACATCCTATGTGATGCTAATTTCAAATACAAACGCTTTAAACGTTTAAACTAACAATTAACGGTCTATCATCATCAAATATCCTACGGTTAACATCCAAGTAGCCTATACTTACTAATATGTGACAATTGACTAAGTACATTCCTTACAAGTTAATAAACTGCAGCGGGACTTTGAATTTAGGAATTATGCCTATTACCTGACATTATTGTTGTGTCTAGGCCTAAATGTAAAAAGCTGACTATTCAAGTCCAGACAATTCATGCTTCTTTCACGAGCCACGCATTCCACAAAATATTATTTGAGAATCATAAATTATTAAATGTCCCACAAATAAGAGAAAGGTATTTTGGAATAGTTGAACTTCTGTTGAGCCCCTTAATAAAATATAACTTTCTGTTTTCTTTTAAAAACAGAATCGAACATCATTACCACAGCAAAGAGTCTGTCAAGTTTGCTCATATCTATATTACCTGCACTCGAACCTCCGGAAGATTCACTTTCATTGCGAGCTCCTCTCTGCTGTAGACGTCCGGATAGTGCGACTTTTCGAACGCTCTCTCCAGCTCATGCAGCTGAAAGGTTGTGAACGTGGTCCTGTTGCGCCGGTGCTTTTTCTTTGGGTTGTCATCATCGGACAGTTTATCCTCCCCGTCAGGTAAATCAGGACTAACAGAGGCCCCCGAACTGCTGCAGCAGACACCTGAAAAACACATTATAGGCTAGATCAATTTATGAACTTCTGAAATTGTATTTGCCTTTATGTGTGACTTTTTACTCTGATTCAAAAGTCTACTGACAGATATTTATAAACATGGAATAAGTAGCCTACTGTTGTGAAAAATAACATTTAGAATCAATCAAGATTTAACCATTTTAAATCACCTTTTTAACAAGGCTTCTAGCTTGAAACATATTGCAGTGTCACTTACTGTCAAAACTTTCCGTGTTGTGTTCTTTCTTCAGGGATGACATAATTCCGTTCCCTCTCAGCTCGGCGAGTTTCCCTGATGATCCATTGTAGGAGACAGATTGATTAAATATGTTTTCGTCTTTAAATCCCAATATTGCTTCAATACTGTGAACCCTCGCTGCTGCGGTGTTATGATTATTACCGGGGCTCCGGACGAAACATGCAGAAGGTGACAGGCGCTCTTCCATGACTTCAGGAGTTGAACCAAGAAGCCACATTTGATGTAAAAAAAAATAATCTCAAACTAAATTGAAAAGACACTGATAAACAAATGTAGGCTAAACTCCCGATAAATATATTTTTAATACAACGTTTTAAGTCTTCAGAATGAATAGCTAAATGTTTTAATAGAATGAAACAGTAAATGTTAAAAAGAATGAAACAACAATTCCGGTTGTTTTGTTGAAATAAAAATCTAAAATCTAATTTAAAAAAATCAGTGTTAGTAAGCATCCGTCGCATCTGAGTAGTAGAATAGCACCTGTTACTCAAATAGCTGACACTCCAGTAGTGGTCTTGTCTTATAGAGGACGCTGTGTCTTCTGGCGTTTATAAAGTAGTCCTTATGGTAAGACCCCCTTCCCTCCGCCCATGTGACAGCCCCCACCTCCCCACCAAGACACGTAAAAAAGGGGGTTGTCATGTTCGATTTGCCCCAACCCTTGGTTTAGGGGAAACTACATTGTCCCCATTGAACCAATGCTGAGCTAGGCCACTAACCCCTCCCCAAGACAAGTCTTCTGCCCTGCCTGTCAGTCAGTCACTGTTGGTTTATAAACCGCCTTACATAAATCTTAAAACCATATCTCCAGATGTCATGGGCTGAGTCCCAAATTTGCACCCTTTTCCCTATTCCCTATACAGTGCACTACTTTTGACCATGGGGGGCCAAAGGGCTCTGTTAAAAAAGTAAAGCACTATGTAGGGAATAGGGTGCTATTTGGGATGCTACCATGCTCACGATGGCCTGTAAAAGGAGCAGGTTGGGTAAGAGATTACGGCTTAAGGTAGTCAGAGAACAAAATCATAATTACAAGATGTTCAGTCAAGACACAGATTACAAGATGTCCGATTAATGTTTGACTGGTGTCTTAATCAAAGGGTGAACACATTATTATCAAAACAAGTGACCAAATCACACATTTAGGAGATAATGATATTATTACAAAAGAGACACATGTCAAGTGCTCTTTTGTTTAATGAATAGGCCCAGGACCTACATATAAAATAGTTTAAATAGTTAAATAGTTATTGAAAGGCCTATTGGCATATTACAAGCTTTCTCAGAGAGGACGTCTACACGTCCACCTCCCAATATTTTAATTTTCAATAAAATAAATGTCTTCATTTTCTTGACTTGAAAATAGGCTTACTTGTTTTGTGACATTTTTTATTTATCTAAATACATACATAAATAAATAAGAAATAAATACATGCATTTGCTCAATTGTCCAGTTATTACATTGAATTAACGCTTCTTTAAATTTTTTTAAAAATATTAAATTAGTTGATAAACCTGTCAACCAAAACACATAACAATATAATATGTGATTAGTAACAGCTAAAAGTGTCATCCATGTCAGGCTACAGCCAGTTATCTTGATAATTTGACATATTTCAAGTTGGGTTGAATGTGTTGAATGAGTTGAGTGGTCTGTTGTAGCCTATTATCTGTGAACAAGAAAACTACTAGGGTTTCTGCTCCATTAACTAACCACTTGAGATGTCATAGTTCACACCATAATTACATCTTCAGGCCTATACAGTACATAACCTTATTATGTGAGAGGTTAACCATACAGACCTTAGTTTAGCCCAGTGGCCCAGTGGGTCTGCCATTGAGGTGCAAATAAAATGTCTTAACTTCCTCAATATTGCGGGGGATATGTGTAATTAACACTAAACAAAGATTGACAGCAGTTTGGTAATCCCTGGCCCACACGCTGCTTAAGGGAATTAGTTTTTTTTTTTAAACTCTAAAGAGGTAAAACCCTTAAAACTATTTAGCTTTTCCTAATTGCAGAAGGTGACATTATCCTCTGTTTGCCAAAGAGGCGATCATTGGTCCAGTAGGTAGTGGATCTAGTATGCTAAGAACTAGCAGTCACGACGTAGCTTGTCATTAACAACACAGGGCTTGGAACTTAAATCTATCTGTTAGTTACAATTAGGGAATGCATATTGGATCTAAAAAGGTCATTGACAACCGTATGAGCAATTTGATAGCTGGATATGATGTAGAACAGGTTTAGCTGTTTTTATATGCTGTTATTATACCTTTGACATTGTTGTGCCTTTGGCTTTGACATTGCTCTGCCGACTAGGTGAAAAATCTGTCGATGTGCCCTTGAGCAAGGCACTTAACCCTAATTGCTCCTGTAAGTCGCTCTGGATAAGAGCGTCTGCTAAATTACTAAAATGTTAAATGTTAAATCTAGCTAGCTCACACTAGTACAATATCCCACCTTTGAGGAGGTTCCAACTGCTCCAATGAGGAGTATGTGATGTGAGGGTTTCTAAAAGAAAATACCGGCTATATGATTTCATCGAGATAGGGGGAATGGAAGTCACATTTTCTCTACCTAACTCTAACCTTCTGTGGAAACTTGAATGCAACTTGTCTTGTCTAGTTTTCTAGCTAACTGAGTCCAATCCAAATCATTTGAGAGTCTGACATAAGCAGTTAACCTGATGAGGTGGGACAACCTCCTCGGCAACCTTCATCCTATTAACTGCTAATCTTTTACCAGAAGATTCCCAATCCAAGGCATTCTGAACATTGGACTCACGTGACACTCACAACAGTTGCTAAATAATCTCAAATTAATCGAAGACCCATTTCTTTATTCAGCCTCTTATGGTGTGTTAGTGTAATTCACATATTTAAAACCTAATCTGAGTATCTTTCCAATTCTGCCTGTTATATCACCCATTAGGAATATATGTATTTATAAGTAGAAGGCAACAACTATAAGAGAAATTATGTCAAATAGTCTGTCATTTTATACAAGTCAGTGGTTTTATTAGTCATTGGCTTCTGCATCAACATGTATAATTCTAACCGCACAACATAACTTTACATTTAATATATATATTTTAGAATAATCCAAAATCCTTAACATTAGTACTTCAGTGTGTCAGTCAATGTTAATGTACAGTTTGTTTAATTATGGAATGAAGACTATATATTTTATTTAAATGATGTATTGTGCAAAACTGCAAAGTATTTATCTCTTACAAGCTTGTTTTATGCTTGTTGTTTTAGATAAACATTGATAGAGGTGATGGTCAAAGATTTACAATTGTGTGTGTGTGGAGGAGGATATGCAACAGAATGTTTTGCGCGATTGTCCACAATAGTGTCAGTTGCATAAAGTGTAAGAGAAGTGGCCATCATGAGTGACATAATTTCCTAATTAACCGGTGAAACATGGAGAATAACACAAACGGGGGGAAACAATCTACAACAGCATTCATTCACACACATACAAAAAATACGTAATTTTACGAGTTAAACAAACAGCAAATTAAGGGGAGACATCAAAACAGAAACCAATACACACAAGAGGTTGTTTGGGAAATGAGCTTCCATTTCAGCAAGACCTGCTGCCATTGGATGTCGCCAAGCAGATTTCCAAGCTTTGATCATTGATAGGGGGAGATAGAGGACTCTCTTAGACCTGGGTTCAAATAGTATCTGTTTTCTTTCAGCTGTGCTTGATTGAGCTTGCCTGGCGCAATTATGGAACCAATGGAATAGTCCCAAAAGTGCAAACCAACCCGGCCCGTCCATCTGGCACTCCCCAGACAGGCTCAATCAAAACACTCAAAGGAGACTTTAAAACAGGGGTACTCAAGTACTAGTTGAGAAGATCCGGTCACACACATTTCCTAGGTGGCAAAGGTCCAGATGGATATTGTCATTTATCGGCATAGTAACAAACCCCCACCTCACAACCTATTGGACCCCAAACTGTTCACACCCCTGTTGTTGGCGGAGAGAAAATGTTGCAGTTTTAAAGCTAATTTCCCGCAATTCTACACATTTTGCATGGGGCAGATAATTTTGTTGCTGTTTCAAATCTAATTTCCTGCTATTCTACACATTTTGCATGGGGCAGAGAATTTTGTTGCTGTTTCAAAGCTAATTTCCTGCAATTCTACACGTCTTATGTGTGTTTATATGATACCAGGGGTCGAAGCCCGATCGAGTTACATTTAAAAAATAATAAATAGTTCCGGACCGCGGTCCACCAGTTGAGTATAGGGGCTTTAAAATAGCTCAAATACTTATTTTAAACCCAGGTCTGCTGGGTGGAGAGTGACTCTCATAGGATCGGTTTGTTTACAGTCGCTCCTAAATCACTCCCTTGTTCCCTTACACCTCTATGTTAGCATGTCTAAGGGTCTGAATAAGTATAAGCAGTGTAGTGGTAAAGCTTCCGCCATATTTCTTCCACCTTCAGATCTGCAAACATTGAAAGGTTAGGGCCAAGGGATCGAATCGGGGTAGGGAACGAATTGGGACCGGCTGTTCATGAAGTGAAATCTTCCATTTTATTTTATTTACATGACAGAGCATTTCTCCTCTGCCTTGGCTTTCATCTCTGTCACGGTGGCCGAGGCCTTCTCCTTGAGCTGATCCATGTCCATGTTCTGGAGGTTCTGAATGCCACCCAAGATGGAGTCCTTGTCCTCCTCCTCCGTGGCATCCTCGTCCACCATCTTGAGCAGCTCTTCGGGTACGTCCACGTCGTCTCCAGCCATGGCCAGCATGTTGTCGTCCTGCTCGCTCTGGAGAGAGTAGAGGCCAATACAGACATTTTATAATTTTACAGCTTGTAATATTATTATTAGTCAGGACATCAGCTAGTAGGACAGACAGAGATCATGTTACCGTCCTGCTCGCTCTGTTAGAGAAACAATAGAGATGTTACATTAGCTAGCATTGTTAGTTATGGCTCGCTGCCCTGCTCCCACTAAAAGACCAATGCAGACGTTAGATTAGCTAGTGAGACATACAGACAGACAGCCTGAACCTACTACTCCTGTCTGTTGCTCGGTCTTTAAAAGGGAGAGACCAATACAGATTTAAACAACCTACTACACTCCTGTTTATGTAGAGGCCAACAAAGACATCAGATTAGCTAGTGAGACAGAAAGACACCATACTACAGCTAGACCAACACAGACAATCAATCAATAAATCAATCAATCAAGGAAATCAATCAAATAAATCAATCAAATTCATTCATAACTGATTTTTTTTTATGTCAGCAGTTGTCACAAAGTGCTTTGCAGTACATTGGATTAGCTACCGAGACAGACAGACAACCTCTATCCTCCTGTCTCGCTCTGTAGAGACAGATGTTAGATTAGCTAGAAAGACATGGAGAGACATCAAATGAAATCTAATTTTATGTCACATGCGCCGAATACAACAAGTGTAGACTTTACTGTGAAACGCTTACTTACGAACCTTTTCCCGACAATGCAGTTAAAAAAAGTAAGAACATTTCCAAATAGATTGTAAAAAAAATTGGAACACGATAAAATAACAGTAACGAGGCTATGTACAGGCTATATACAAGGAACACCGGTACCGAGTTAGTGTACTGGGCTACGAGGTAGTTGGGGTGATTGATTGAGGTAAATATGTACATGTAGGTTTGGTTAGGTGATTTATTGAAGCACTATGTACATGTACTGTAGGTAGGGGTGAAAAGCAGAAAGTCCGGGTAGCCATTTGATTAACTGTTCAGCTGTCTTATAGCTTTGGGGTAGAAGCTGTTCAGGAGCCTTTTGGTCCCAGACATGGCGCTCCGGTACCGCTTGCCGTGCGGTAGCAGAGAGAACAGACTGTGGCTGGAGTCTTTGACCATTTTTTGGATGTTCCTCTGACACCGCCTGGTATCCTGCTACAACTACACACCTGTCTCTCCCGCAAGGCAGGGGATGAGTGTTGTTTTAACACCTCACTGGTGCACATGTCACTGGTAAAAACAAATGGTCACTTAGGGGTCCTTAGTTTGAACACACTTAATGCAATAAAGAAGAAGAAGAAGAAGAAGAAGAAGAAGAAGAAGAAGAATGATGATTTATCTTTGGAACCTCAAACCTACATTCTAGAATCTGTTGAAACGTACATTCTAGAACCTGTTGAAACCTACATTCTAGAACCTGTTGAAACCTACATTCTAGGACCTGTTGAAACCTACATTCTAGAACCTGTTGAAACCTACATTCTAGAACCTGTTGAAACCTACATTCTAGACCCTATTGGAACCTACATTCTAGACTCCAGGAAGGATGATCTGAAACCTGCGTTAGCCTTTCCGTTGGAAACCATGACGCCGGCCAGGTGTGAGGATTCTAAAGATGTCCGCCACAGTCTTACACAAGAGACTAATTCCATTACTTAAACATGCCAGATTTTGCAGTCACATATACAATCATGTTATTTCACCATTCATTGTGTTCATCAGTTGTGGTGGCTGTCTTGTACAATGCCTTTAATCGAATTTAAAAGGACCTTTATGTGGGTTTGTCATGGTGAAACTATACTTGCTGGACTCAATAGTCGTTGTATAGGTTGTATAAGTTTTTGACATAAACATATTTTTAAACTAACATGAAAACAAAACAACTGAACCTATACCTATTGATGATATACGTATTAATATGTTGTCTATTGTTTTAAAGTGTCGTTCCACATATAGAAATGAACATAATTAACAAGAAGATTGAATATTGAACTGAATTACTTGTGAGAGACATTCTGCAAAAAGCAAACACAGAAGCCATTTACGTTCACCTCAGTCAGGATGATTTCTTTTCAATACATAAATAATATCAATATATATTCTGCTCTTTGCTACTGTAACCACAGCTTTATAAATGGTAGAGGTAATATAGCTATACAAATAAAATCGTTATAACATTGAACTATCACCTTTTCTTTCAGTAATGACGTATATAAAATCAGAATACAACTGTACCTTATTTCCGCTCGTCATAACACCTGATTAAAAATCACTTCCTTATCAAACAGCTTTTAATAGATCCCAATAGATCCAAACAGATTCAGTAGATTCTTCTACAGAATCTAACCTAGATGTGGTTCTTCTGTCTGTCAACGTCGGTCAACCAACACTGTCTTCACTCCCCAAAGCCACATGAACACCTAGCTTGAACACCTAGATGGCCTCTGGCTCTGGCCTCGTTCTAAGCCCACAGCACAATATAGGATAACATGTGAAGTCTCCAGGTCTTTTATCGAACATCTTGCCTTAACCCTAATCTGATGGCAGTTAGCCACCTCCACCTCCCGCTGTATGGCCTAACGGAAACTGCCAAGGGATGAAAACAGCATCTAGCCTGTAAACATCAACCACTGCAGGTCAGGCTTAACCATTGAGGTGTTCACCAGGGTTGAGGTTAGAGTCCATTTCCATTCAGTCAATTTAGGAAGTACAATTGTAGTCTACATAACCTCATTGTTCCATCCAAAGGTCTCTGCATCTGAGCAATTAATGGCAATTAACTGCTCTCTGAACATTTACTCTACAGTATGTAAACATGTAACATAAAACAGTGCAGAATTCAGGAAGTAAATTAAAATTGAAATCACCTACTCTAGAGCGTGACTAGTGACAGGGGGGGCTGAAGAGGTTGTAATTCGGGAGGAATGGCTTCTCACCTTTGGGAGCCTGTACTTGTCTCTTAGACACACCCGCAGAGTTGCCCTCTCAGCCTTCTTGTGTAAGAAGTCAGCATCTCTCTCCATCCTGAACAATAGAGAAAATAAATGATTGATTAACTGCTTGATTAATTAATTTATATATAGTGTGATCACATCATGGATAACTTTATATGCGTGCATGCATATACTGTATACTTGTTTCATTTGTATTCAAACACAATAATGGTCTGAGTATGATCTTGTTTCAACCAAAGGGACAGTCAATATACCAAACTAATGCAACACATGATACCATAAAGCTAAGAGGATTTTTTATTTCACCTTTATTTAACCAGGTAAGCCAGTTGAGAACAAGTTCTCATTTACAACTGCAACCTGGCCAAGATAAAGCAAAGTAGTGCGATAAAAACAACAACAACACAGAGTTACATATGGAATAAACAAAAACGTACAGTCAATAACACAATAGAAAATATATATACAGTGTTTGCAAATGTAGCAAGTTAATGCAGGGCTTTATGGAGTTTGACCCTAACAATGTGCTACATGTCCCGTTGTGTCATGGGTAAACCATCAGATGGGTTTAGGTAAAGAGGTTCAGACTACATATTCTCACTGTTCAGTCACATGATGCTTCCGGAATTTGAAAAGAGAACATGACGTATGGCTGGGCAGACTACTATGATAAATATTTGTATGGTTGTCTGGCTACTATGATAAATATTTGTATGGTTGTCTGGCTACTATAATAAATATTTGTATGGTTGTCTGGCTACTATAATAACTATTTGTTATGGTTGTCTGGCTACTATATTAAATATTTGTATGGTTGTCTGGCTACTACAATACATATTTGTATGGTTGTCTGGCTACTATATAATATTTGTATGGTTGTCTGGCTACTATAATAAATATTTGTATGGTTGTCTGGCTACTATAATAAATATTTGTATGGTTGTCCTGGCTACTATAATACATATTTGTATGGTTGTCTGGCTACTATATAAATATTGTATGGTTGTCTGGCTACCAAATTTGTATGTTGTCTGGCTACTATATAAATATTTGTATGGTTGTCTGGCTACTATAATAAATATTTGTATGGTTGTCTGGCTACTATAATAAATATTTGTATGGTTGTCTGGCTACTATAATAAATATTTGTATGGTTGTCTGGCTACTATGATAAATATTTGTATGGTTGTCTGGCTACTATAATAAATATTTGTATGGTTGTCTGGCTACTATAATAAATATTTGTATGGTTGTCTGGCTACTATAATACATATTTGTATGGTTGTCTGGCTACTATAATAAATATTTGTATGGTTGTCTGGCTACTATAATAAATATTTGTATGGTTGTCTGGCTACTATAATAAATATTTGTATGGTTGTCTGGCTACTATAATACATATTTGTATGGTTGTCTGGCTACTATGATAAATATTTGTATGGTTGTCTGGCTACTATAATAAATATTAGTATGGTTGTCTGGCTACTATAATAAATATTTGTATGGTTGTCTGGCTACTATAATACATATTTGTATGGTTGTCTGGCTACTATAATAAATATTTGTATGGTTGTCTGGCTACTATAATAAATATTTGTATGGTTGTCTGGCTACTATAATAAATATTTGTATGGTTGTGCTATATATGGTTGTATCACTTAAAGTGCTGCTTGCTTTCCTCCTGTTTAGAAAAGCAAAAGCTGCAAACTCTATGGCTCCAATGATAATAATTGATTCCAATGTTTCAACTGCTTTCCTCCGGTGTCATTATTCTGGCTTTACACAACCCACACCATGCCAATAGGCCAATGGGCCAATCAGATTATACAATGCATGGTCAACTCATTAGTGTATTGACTTTCGGATAATCATCATGAGAATCCTTGGTTGCGTTCCAAATGCCACCCTGTTCTCTATATAATGCACTAGCCTTGCGGTTAGAGCGTTGGGGCCCATATCCAAAAGGATGCTGGTTTGAATACCTGAGCAGACAAGGTGACCCCTGGCTGACCCTGGAAAACTACCCGTTTCACTGCACTTATCTGGTGTATGTGACAATACAACATATTATTACTTTTGACCAGAGTCATCTGGGACATGAACCCTTCTCTTGGCCCTTTTGTGCCAACCTCATTGGTCGCTGTGGAGAGGGAACTGTTTCCCCTAGCCAATTAAACGTGAGGATTATTAGTTGGCCAGATTGAGGGCTAGGACAAGGTTGAAGATTAGGACAAATCACCCAACACAGCCACTGAGTGTACAAAACATTACCATGACGTAGACTGACCAGGTGAAAGCTATGATCCCTTATTGATGTCACCTGTTAAATCCACTTCAAATCAGTGTAGATGAAGGGGAGGAGACAGGTTAAAGAAGGCTTTCTTGAGACAATTGAGACATGGATTGTGTATGTGTGCCATTCAGAGGGTGAATGGGCAAGACAAAAGATTTAAGTGCCTTTGAATGGGGTATGGTAGTAGGTGCCAGGCGCACCAGTTTGAGTGTGTCAAGAACTGCAATGCTGCTGGGGCTTTCACGCTCAACAGTTTCCCCTGTGTATCAAGAATGGCCCACCACCCAAAGGACATCCAGCCAACTTGATACAACAGTGGGAAGCATTGGAGTCAACATGGGCCAGCATCCCTGTGGAACACTTTCGACACCTTGTAGAGTCCACGCCCCGACGAACTGAGGCTGTTCTATGGGGGAAAAGGGGTGCAACTCAATATTAGCAAGGTGTTCCTAATGTTTTGTACACTCAGTGTATAACTCTAACTCCTGCTCTGCTCTGCTCCGAGACACCCAACACAAAATTAGGAATACAAGACTTTATAAGGTGGTCATACATGCTCTTGACAAGTCTTACAATGCATTATAACTGCAGGCTTTAAATAAAGTGCGCTAACATTTAGCATCTGATGTAATGTAAATGTGTGGGCATTTTCCACCAGATGACAACAGAATTGTTCGCTAAATCATGGGAGGAAGAGATAATCTGGTTACATAATCTGGTTTGGCTGAAGCGTCCATCCGAAGATTATATTGCTGTAAAACATCAACACTGACGGAAAATGTCAGTATTAGGCTAAGGCTATGCTATATTTTGTTGCAATAAAGAAATTACATCTTTACACACAAATAATGTAACCTTTGTGGACTCATTTGTTGATTGCTTACATTTCTATTTTTATTTTAAATTGTATTTATTTTATTGAATACTAAACATACAATCTCCCTGCAGTGAAGCCGCTCAACATTTACATCACATTCAGTCATCTAAAAGACTTCCAATCCAGAACGACCCACAGGAGCAACCAGGGTCAAGTGCCCAGCCCAAGGGCACGTCAACAGATCTCCCACCAAGTCAAAACGGGGACCCGAACCAGCGACTTATCGGCCACCGGCCCAAGCTCCTGACCACCAGGCCACCAACCATCCAAGATCCCCCCACAGTTCCCCGAGAGCTGCCCCTCAACCATCCGAGAACCTCTCCCTCCATTGTCTCCAGTTCCACATCCCAACCCTCAGTTTCCCTCAGCCCATCCCACCTATCTCCGCTGGCCACCCTCTTCGTATTTCTATGCGCCATACAGTATATCATTCAACTATGCTGTTATGTTTAACATGCAATTTGAATCTATCTAATTGAATAGAATCCACAGATTGTGAGTTAATGTTTTGAACAGTGACTGAACATGCCCTACTGGGCAGCAGCCACATCATTTTACATAACAAAACAAAATGGCCGCCATGGCAGTGAAACGACAGTAAAGAGCTCTTCCTCCTGTTTGACATTTAGTCCCGGTCTTTAATTGTGGATATGGACCAATAAACTGGACAGAGTGTTGAAATTATTTGAGATAGACATAGCAGTAAGATTACTTTTGATCTATAATTTTTCACTTCCCCATCAAAGCTCCTCCTACACCGTCGCAGTTAAATCATCATGGGTCAAATTCAGCAGCCATTTTAAATTCCTCCTGGGGTCTTAATAGTTCAGGTACTAAATGAGATAGTAGTAGCTACTGAACATCTATTCACTTTTCAAAACGTAAGACTATTTTACAGATTATTTGACTTTATTTTAGCACTGATCCTTTTGAGTGTTATTCAAATTCAATGTCGGTAAGCCAGTCTGGCTTCAAAAACAACATTGTTGATATCACAGCAGAGGATCAATGATCAGAGATTAATTGTGTAATGGTGGTCGTGGTTGGTTGGTAGGTAGGGGTGAAATTTGGTACCCAAGCAACAAGTCTGTCTTTTTACAGAAATAAAAATATGCTGAAAATTATAGTTTGAGTTATTCTGACCTTGAGTGACAAAACCATTAAGAAAATAAATAGTGCAAAATGAACATAAATTATAAACTGTAACAATGGGAATAAATGTTGATAAATGAAATAGTTATGAATTCAACAAAACAACAATATTTAAAATTAACAAATAATTTGCAAGGTGATTTCCTGCAGAATTCCTGCATGGTGCTTGTCAAGGTCAGCTAGGATAGTGGTGGTGGTTACATTCTGTAGGGTTAGCCAGCCATGTTCCTCTCATAGCCATTCATGATCCAACAACACCAAAACAAAATGGAGGTAACTTGGCAGTGAGGGCAGGTTACTTACTTCTCCTCCACCAACTGTTTTTGGTACTCCTCATACTCCTCGCGTGTCATCCCTGCTGCTTTGGCCGGGTCTGCAGGGGCCGCCTCCGTTTCCTCCTCTCCTCCACCCATAGGATTCAAACCAGCCAGCGGGTTAGGCATCATGGTCTTGATTAGGAACATCTTGCTCCGTAGAGTTCTGCTGTACTAGGATATATAGATATTATATTGTTGTAAATAAGACTAGTTGCTTCCCTGGCTTCTACCGTTGGGTTGGGATTGCTAGTGGTTGTGTTAAGTCCAATGGGATCCTGTATATCCTGTCTAGCTAACCTGTCCTGCTGCCTGGATGTGTAGTGAAGGACACACTGACGGCTAGGGAACAGACACCAACAACAACAAAAATACGGTCAGCCGTAATCTGGATTAAACCTCGCTACAGCCCCATGATGCTAAGAGGCAGATGGCCTGGTTGTCCGCCTCTATTTTGAACACACAACTTTAAGGAATCATATTGATAATTATTTAATACTAATTAACACGTTCAGTCAATGGCAGTACTGGTGTACAGCACCATGCAAAGGTCACAGTCAAATTTGGGATTTCAAGATCCCAAGACATTCTTGTTCTCCTGTTGGTCGTTCGGTGCTGTCGCCACGTCACATATGTTGCTTCCACCCGCCCACTGCTAGTTAATCACATTACTGAAGAAGGTTTGGCTCCTCCCATGTGACGTATCTACCAGAGATTTCCATGTATATCCTGGATGAGCTGAGGGCTGGAGGGGGTGGTGGGGGTGGGGTGGTGGGGGTGGGGTGGGGGGTGGGGGAATTACACCATTGCAATCACCAATGACTTTTGAATGAACATGACTTCATAAAGAACAAACGTTATATGCAAACATAAGAAACCTTTCTAAAACAGCAGGAAGAATAACACAACGTACATTTGTGTACAGTGTGTGCAGAATGCGGGTTTGTATACTGTCATATTCTTATCATCAAACGCTGATCTTTATAATTGGTATGAAATTACATAGAGACAAGCTGAATTGTACAACCTTAGCATTTGCCTTTTTCTATAGCTACACTGTTGTGTTTGCGGTTAGCTGTACAGTGCTGTGCTGTGCTGTGCTGTGCTGTGCTGTGCTGTATTGTGCTGTACTGTATTGTGCTGTGCTGTGCTGTGCTGTACTGTGCTGTACTGTATTGTGCTGTGCTGTGCTGTACTGTATTGTGCTGTGCTGTGCTGTGCTGTACTGTGCTGTACTGTATTGTGCTGTACTGTGCTGTAGAGTGCTGTGCTGTGCTGTGCTGTGCTGTATGGTGCTGTGCTGTGCTGTGCTGTGCTGTACTGTGCTGTACTGTATTGTGCTGTGCTGTGCTGTGCTGTACTGTATTGTGCTGTGCTGTACTGTACTGTACTGTACTGTGCTGTGCTGTGCTGTGCTGTGCTGTGCTGTGCTCTATTGTGCTGTACTGTATTGTGCTGTGCTGTACTGTGCTGTACTGTATTGTGCTGTGCTGTGCTGTAATGTGCTGTACTGTATTGTGCTGTGCTGTGCTGTACTGTGCTGTGCTGTGCTGTATTGTGCTGTGCTGTGCTGTGCTGTACTGTACTGTATTGTGCTGTGCTGTGCTGTACTGTACTGTGCTGTGCTGTACTGTGCTGTACTGTATTGTGCTGTGCTGTGCTGTGCTGTACAGTGCTGTGCTGTACAGTGCTGTGCTGTGCTGTGCTGTATTGTGCTGTACTGTGCTGTACTGTATTGTGCTGTGCTGTGCTGTGCTGTACTGTGGCGGGGAGGCAGGGATGCGGCAAAGGAGGTGTTTCCTGGGTGTGAAAGAAGAGTCATCATCTCTTATTTCTGACGAGTGACACGGCAACAATACAGTCTGACAATAGAGGAGAGAGAGAGAGGGGGACATTGTTACAACACTGTATATATACATAATATGACATTTGAAATGTCTTTATTCTTTTGGAACTTCTGAGTGTAATGTTTACTGTTAATATTTATTGTTTATTTCACTTTAGTTTACTATCTACTTCACTTGCTTTGGCAATGTTAACATACGTTTCCCATGCCAATAAATCCCTTAAATTGACATTGAAATTGAATTGAGAGAGAGGGGGGGGGGGTTGAGAAAGAGAGTGAGAGAGAGAGAAAGGGGGGGTTGAGAAAGAGAGTGAGAGAGAGAGGGGGGGGTTGAGAAAGAGAGGAGCGAGAGAAGGGGGGTTGAGAACGAGAGGAGAGAGAGAGGGGGGGGGGGGGGGGGTTGAGAACGAGAGGAGAGAGAGAGATATCGCCCTCAACCGCAGACCCAACACCTCACACAGAAGTAACAGATCAACAGACAGTCTCCCCCCCCGCCCCCCCCCCCCCCCCCCCCCCGCCGAGAGGACCTACATCCAGACCACAGCACCACCAGCCACATCCACACCCCCACCAATGAACACCCCCAAGTCAACCATGCCCACACCCCATTTAGGCCCCCTCAGATCAGACCTATGCCCCTCCTACCCACCCCATGCCCCCCACTCTTGCAAAGAGGGCCTCAACATGAAAGTCACACATACGCCCAGGCCGTGAGCAGGCAAACAGGCCCAACCCCCACTCTTACACTACCCAAGCCAATGGCATGTACCAGATGCTCAGCAGGCTCTGCTCACAATTACTGGCCTGAGGCCAAACCAAACGACCAACAACATTAGACACTTTATGGAACACAAAGCTTTCACTATTTCATCCTGGAATATCCAAGGCCTGAGGTCATCTGCCTTTGGCCTAAAGAGCAGGAACCTGGACTTCACCAAAGAAATCGGAAATACAGACATTGTCATCCTACAAGAAACATGGTATAGAGGAGACGGACCCACTGGTTGCCCTCTAGGTTACAGAACGTTCCACTGTAATAGTGAAGGTGTAAACTTGGCAGTAGAAAACCTAAACAGTATATTTGACCTCTCAGCTTCCCTATGAAATCTAAAAATCTCTAACAGAAAACCGAAGAAAAGTAACAACAGTGACAAATGGTTTGATGAAGAATGCAAAAACCTAAGAAAGAAATTGAGAAACCTATCCAACCAAAAACATAGAGACCCAGAAAACCTGAGCCTACGCCTTCACTATGGTGAATCACTAAAACGATACAGAAATACACTACGGAAAAAGAAGGAACAGCACGTCAGAAATCAGCTCAATGTAACAGAAGAATCCATAGACTCTAACCACTTTTGGGAAAATTGGAAAACACTAAACAATCAAGCAACACGAAGAGCTATCTATCCAAAACTGAGATGTATGGGTAAACCACTCCTCCAATCTTTTTGGTCTATAACAATGAACAAACAGCAAAAAAATATACATGATCAAATGCAAATCTTAGAATCAACTATTAAAGACTACCAGAACCCACTGGATTCTCCAATTACATTGAATGAACTACAGGACAAAATACAAACCCTCCAACCCAAAAAGGCCTGTGGTGTTGATGGTATCCTCAATGAAATGATAAAATATACAGACCACAAATTCCGATTGGCTATACTTAAACTCTTTAACATCATCCTTAGCTCTGGCATCTTCCCCAATATTTGGAACCAAGAACTGATCACCCCAATCCACAAAAGTGGAGACAAATTTGACCCCAATAACTACCGTGGGATATGCGTCAACAGCAACCTTGGGAAAATCCTCTGCATTATCATTAACAGCAGACTAGTTCATTTCCTCAGTGTAAACAATGTACTGAGCAAATGTCAAATTGGCTTTTAACCAAATTACCATACAACAGACCACGTATTCACCCTGCACACCCTAATTGACAAACAAACAAACCAAAACAAAGGCAAAGTCTTCTCATGCTTTGTTGATTTCAAATAAGCTTTTGACTCAATTTGGCATGAGGGTCTGCTATACAAATTCATGGAAAGTGGGGTTGGGGGAAAAACATCCGACATTATAAAATCCATGTACACAAACAACAAGTGTGCGGTTAAAATTGGCAAAAAAACACACACATTTCTTTCCACAGCGCTGTGGGGTGAGACAGGGACGCAGTTTAAGCCCCACCCTCTTCAACATATATATCAACGAATTGGGGCGAGGGCACTAGAACAGTCTCCAGCACCCGGCCTCACCCTACTAGAATCTGAAGTCAAATGTCTATTGTTTGCTGATGATTTGGTGCTTCTGTCACCAACCAAGGAGGGCCTAAAGCAGCACCTAGATCTTCTGCACAGATTTTGTCAGACCTGGGCCCTGACAGTAAATCTCAGTAAGACAAAAATAATGGTGTTCCAAAAAAGGTCCAGTTGCCAGGACCACAAATACAAATTCCATCTAGACAACGTTGCCCTAGAGCACACAAAACCTACACATACCTCGGCCTAAACATCAGCGCCACAGCTAACTTCCACAAAGCTGTGAACGATCTGAGAGACAAGGCAAGAAGGGCCTTCTATGCCATCAAAAGGAACATAAAATTCGACATACCAATTAGGATATGACCAAAAATACTTGAATCAGTTATAGAACCCATTACCCTTTATGGTTGTGAGGTCTGGGGTTCGCTCACCAACCAAGAATTCACAAAATGGGACAAACACCAAATTGAGACTCTGCATGCAGAATTCTGCAAAAACATCCTCAGTGTACAACGAAAAACACAAAATAATGCATGCAGAGCAGAATTAGGCTGATTCCCTCTAATGATCAAAATCCAGAAAAGAGCTGTTAAATTCTATAACCACTTAAAAGGAAGCGATTCCCAAACCTTCCATAACAAAGCCATCACCTACAGAGAGATGAACTTGGAGAAGAGTCCCCTAAGTAAGCTGGTCCTGGGGCTCTGTTCACAAACACAAACAGACCCCACAGAGCACCAGGACAACAACAACAACACAATTAGACCCAACCAAATCATGAGAAAACAAAAAGAGAATTACTCGACACATTGGAAAGAATTAACAAAAAAACAGAGCAAACTAGAATGCTATTTGGCCCTAAACAGAGAGTACACAGTGGCAGAATACCTGGCCACTGTGACTGACCCAAACTTAAGGAAAGCTTTGACTATGTACAGACTCAGTGAGCATAGCCTTGCTATTGAGAAAGGCCGCCGTAGGCAGACCTGGCTCTCAAGAGAAGACAGGCTGTGTGCACACTGCCCACAAAATGAAGTGGAAACTGAGCTGCACTTCCTAACTTCCTGCCAAATGTATGACCATATTAGAGACACATATTTCCCTCAGATTACAGAGATCCACAAAGAATTTTGATAAACTTCCCATATCATTGGGGAATCCAGTGTCCATCACAGAGGGGGTCACAAGAATTACTGGCCATGAGGCCAAACCAACGACAACAACATTAGAAACTTTATGGTGAACACAAAGCTTCACTATTTCATCCTGGAATATCCAAGCTGAGGTCATCTGCCTTGCCTAAGAGCAGGAAACCTGGATCTCACCAAAGACAATGAAATACAGACAGTGTCATTCCTACAAGAAACATGGTATAGAGGAGCGGACCCCTGGTTGCCCTCTAGGTTACAGAACGTTCACGGTAATAGTGAAGGGTCGTAACTTGGCAGTAGAAAACCTAAACAGTAGATGTGACTCTCAGCGTCCCTATGAAATCTAAAAATCTCTAAAAAAAACCCCCCAAAAGAAAACCCGAAGAAAAGTAAACAACAGTGACAAATGGTTTGATGAAGAAGCAAAAACCTAGAAAGAAATTGAGACAACTATCCAACCAAAAACAAGAAGACCCAGAAAACTGAGCCTACGCCTTCACTATGGTGAAATCACTAAAACGATACAGAAATACACTACGGAAAAAAAAAGAAGGAAAGCACGTCAGAAATCGCTCAATGTAACAGGAAGAATCCATAGACTCTAACCATTTTGGGAAAATTGGGGAAAAACACTAAACAATCAAGCAACACGAAAGAGCTATTCTATTCCAAAACTTGGAGGGTAGGGGTAAACCATCTCCTCCAATATTTTTGCGTTATAACAATGAACAACAGCAAAAAAAAATATACATGAGCAAAGTGCAAAATCTAGAATCAACTATTAAAGACTACCAGAACCCAATGGATTCTCCAATTATTACATTGAATGACCTACGGACAAAATACAAACCCTCCAAAACCCAAAAGGCTCTGTTGGTGGTGATGGTACCTCATGAATGAAATGATAACAAAGATACAGACACAATTCCGATTGGTATACTTAAAACTCTTTAACTCATCCTTAGCTCTGGCATATTCCCCAATATTGGGAACCAAGAAAACTGATCACCCCAAAATCCACAAAAGTGAGAAATTTGACACCAATAACTACCGTGGGATATGCGTTCAACAGCAATCTGGGGAGGAAAATCCTCTGCATTATCTTAACAGCAGACTAGTTCATTTCCTCAGTGTAAACAATGTACTGAGCAAATGCCAAATTGGCTTTAACCAATTACCTACATACAACAGACCAGATTTCACCATGCACACCCTAATGACAAACCAACAAACCAAAACAAAAGGCAAAGTCGTCTATTTGCTTTGTTGATTTCAAATAAGCTTGTGGAACCTCCAATTGGCAGGAGGGTCGCTATACCAATTCATGGAAATGGGGTGGGGGAAAAAACATCCGAATTATAAAATCAATGTACAAAAACAACAAGGTGCGGTAAAATTGGCAAAAAAAAACACACATTATTTCACAGGCTGGGGGGTGAGCAGGGACGCAAAGTTTAAGCCCCACCCTCTTCAACATTATATATTTTTCCCCCCCCCCCAAGGAATTGGGGCGAGGGCACTAGAAACAGTCTCCAGCACCGGCCTCACCTACTAGAATCTGAAGGCAAATGTTCTATTGTTTGCTGAATGATTTGGTGCTTCTGTCACCAACCAAGGAGGGCCTAGAGCCAGAAACCCTGATCTTCTGCACAGTTTTGTCGACATGGGCCATGACAAGGAAATCTCAGTAAGACAAAAATACTGGTGTTCAAAAAAGGTCCAGTAGTTGCAGACCACAAATACAAAATCCATCTAGACAACGTTGCCCTACTCCCTAGAGCACACAAAAACTACACATACCTCGGGCCTACCCCTCCCTCTTCTCCCCTCTCTCCTTAACATCAGCCCACAGCGAAATGCCACAAAGCTTTTGTGAACGATTGAGAGACAAGCAAGAGGGACTTCTATGCAATCCAAAAGGAAACATAAAATTCGACATCCAATTAGGGGATCTGACCAAAAAATACTTGGAATCAGTATAGAACCCATTACCCTTTATGGTTGTGAGGTCTGGGGTTCGCTCACCCAACCACGAATCACAAAATGGGACCCAAACACCAAAATTGAGACTCTGCCATGCAGAATTCTGCAAAAAAATCCTCAGGGTACAACGAAAAAACACCAAAAATAATGCATGCAGAGAAGAATTAGGCTGATTCCCTCTAATGATCAAAATCCAGAGCAAAGAGTGTTAATTCGATAACCACTTAAAAGGAAGCGATTCCCAAAAACCTTCCATAACAAAGGCCATTCACCTACAGAGAGATGAAACTTGGAGAAGATCCCCTAGTAAGCTGGTCCTGGGGTCTGTTCACAAACACAACAGACCCCACAGAGCACCAGGACAACACAACAACACATTAGACCCCAACCAAATCATGAGAAAACAAAAGAGAATTACTCGGACACAGTGGGGAAAGAATTAAACAAAAAAAAACAGAGAAACTAGAATGCGATTTGGCCCAAAAAGGAGTACACAGTGGCAGGAATACCTGGCCACTGTGACTGACCCAAACTTAAGGAAAGCTTGATATTGTACAGACTCAGTGAGCATTTAGCCTTGCTATTGAGGACAGCCGCCCGTAGGCAGCCCTGGCTTCAAGAGAAGGAAGGCTGTGTGAACACTGCCCAACAAAATGAAGTGGAAAACTGAGCTGCACTTCCTAACTTCCTGCCAAATGTATGACCAGATTAGAGGACACATATTTCCCTCTAGATTCAGAGATCCACAAAGAATTTTGATAAACTCCCATATCTATTGGGTGACATGAAATACCACAGTGTCCATCCCAGCAGCAGATTTGTGACCTGTTGCCACAAGGAAAAGGGATGCAACCCGTGAAGAACAAAACACCATAAATACAACCCATAGTTGATGTTGATTTACTTTTTGCCCATTTGTACTTTAATATTTGCAAAATTTTTGTATTACAGCCCTGTATTATACATTAATAGGTATTATTTATTTCACATTTGTTTACTCTCTAATTCACTTGCGTGGCAATGTTATCATACGGTTTCCCATGCCAATAAAAGCCTTAAAATGAAGTGAGAGAGAGCGAGGGTGGGGGGGGGGTGAGAAATAGAGGAGTAGGAGATGAGCGGGGGGGGGGGGAGGGAAAGAGAGGAGAGTGAGAGAGGAGAGAGAGAAGAGAAGAGAGGGGGACACAGAGAGAGATAAGAAAGATAGGAGGAGAAAAGAAAGAAAGAAAGAAAAGAAAGAAACGAGAGAGGGGGGTTGAGAAAGAGAGGAGCGAGAGAGAGAGAGAGAGAGAGAGGAGGAGAGATGCTTGAGACGAGTGAGGAGAGAGGAGAGAGGGGGGTTTTTGAGAAAGAGAGGAGAGAGAGGAGCGCCAGAAAGATGAGAGGGGGGTTGAGAAATAGAAGGAGAGAGGGAGAGACAGAGGGGTTGAGTGAGGAAAGCGAGGAGAGAGCGGGGGGGGTTTGAGAAAAGGAGAGAGCGAGAGAGGTTGAGAGGGGGGATGAGAAAGAGAGGAGAGAGAGGAAGAGCAAGAAAGAGAGAGGGGGGGGGGCGGGAGAAAGAGAGAAGAGAGAGAGAGCAAATGAAGGGGGGTGGCGTGTAGCGGGTGCGCGGTATTCGCCGCAGCGGTTGTGGGTGGGGTGGGTGAGAGGCCTGTGGGCTGGGAGTTGGTGGGTGTGTGGGATGGGTGTGGGGGTTGAGAATTGAGAAATAGTGAGGCAAGAGAGAGAGAAGGAGACGGGGTTGAGGAAAGAGAGGAGAGGAGAGCGAGAGGGGTTGAGAAAGAGAGGGTGATAGAGAGGGGGAGTTGAGAAAAGAGAGGGAGAGCGGGGGGGTGTTGAGAAATAGAGGAGAGAGAGAAGGTGTTTGAGAAAGAGAGGAGAGAGAGAGATAGGGGTTGAGAAAGAGAGGAGAGAGAGAGGGGGGGTTGAGGAAAGAGCGGAGAGAGAGGCAGAGAGAGGGGGGGTTGAGAAAGAGAGGAGAAAGAGAGAGAGGTGGGGATTGGGAAAGAGAAGAAGGAGAGAGCGTGGGGGGTCTGGTTGGTTGAGAGAGAGAGAGAGAGAGAGTTGAAGAGAGAGAGAGAGAGAAGAAAGAGATGACGAGAGAGAAAGAAAGAAAGAAAGAAAGGAGAGGGGAGATAAGATTGAAGAGAGAGGAGTGATGAGAGAGAGGGGGAGTTGAGAATAGGAGAGGAGAGAAGAAAAGAGGGGGGCGGGTTGGGGTGCGTGGTTGGGGTGTTTTGAGAGAATTGAGTTGGTGGTTGAGAAAGAGGACAGGGGGGTTGAGAAAGAGATGAGGGAGAGAGATAGGGAGGTTGAGAAAGAGAGGGAGGGAGAGAGAGGCGGGGTTGAGAAAGAGAGGAGAGGAGATAGAAAGAGGGGTTGAGAAAGAGAGGAGGAGAGAGAGGGGGTTGAGAGAGGAGAGAGAGAGAGAGAGGGGTAAGAGAAAGATAGGAGAGAGAGAAAGAAAGAAAGAGGGTTGAGGAGAGGGAGAGGGGGGGGGCGTTGAGAACGAGAGGAGAGAGAGAGGGGGGTTGAGAAAGCGAAAGGGGGGTTAAGAAAGAGGAGAGGAGAGACGAGAGCCAATAAAAGAGAGAGGGGGGTTGAGGAAAAGAGGAGAGAGAGAGCAATAAGGAGAGAGGGGGTGTGAGGAAAAGAGAGGAGAGAGGAGGGGGGGGGTGAGAAGAGAGGAGAGAGAGATGAGACAGATGGGAGTTGAAAGGAGGAGAGACAGGAGGGTGGGTTGGAACGAAGAGGAGATAGAGTGGGGGGTTGAGGGAGAGAGAGAGAGCGAGGAGAGGGGATAAGAAAAATAGGGAGAGAGAGAACTCCGAAAGAAAGATGAGAGGGGGGTTGAGAACGAGAGGAAGAGAGAGAGAGAGGGAGGGGGGGGGGCGTTGAGAACGAGGGAGAGAGAGAGGGGGGTGAGAAAGAGAGAGGTGGGTTTGAGAAAGAGAGGAGGGCGAGAGAGGGATTGAGAAAGAGGAGGAGAGGGGCGGAGAGAGAGAGGGGGGGTTGAGAAGAGAGAGAAGAGACGAGAGAGAGGGGGGTGCGAAAGAGAGGAGGAGAGAGAGCGAGGGGGGTGAGACCGAGAGGAGAGAGAGAGAGGACAGAGGGGGTTTGAGAACGAGAGGAGAAGGCGAGAGAGAGAGAGAGGGGGATGAGAGAGGGGGGATGATGAGAAAGAGATGAGAGAAAGAGCAAGGAAAGAGAGAGAGAGGAACAGCGGGGGAGTTGAGAAACGAGAGGAGGGAGAGAGGAAAGGCGTGAGAAAGAGAGGAGAGAGATGAGAGTGGGGTGAAGAAGAGAGGAGGAGAGGGTGAGAAAGAGAGGAGAGAGAGAGAGCGGGGTTTTTTGAGAAGAAAGGAGGCGAGAGGGAGAGGGGGGTTGGGGTTTTGAGAAAGAGGGAATAGTGAGAGAGAGCGAGAGAGAGAAAGGGTGAGAAAGAGGTAGGCGGAAGAGAGGGGGGTTGAGAAAGAAAGAGGATGGAGCGAGAGGAAGAGGGGGGTGAGAGAGACGAGAGAGAGGGAGAGCAAGAAAGAGAGAGGGGGGGAGAATAGAGAAGAGAGAGAGACAGAGGGTGGTTCGAGAAAGTGTAAGGAGGAGAGAGAGACAGAGGAGGGGTTGAGAAATGAGGAGAGGAGGAGCGAGATGGGGGTTGAGAAGAGAGGGAGAGAATAGAGAGGGGGAGTTGAGAAAGAGAGCGAGAGAGAGCGGGGGGGTTGAGAAGAGAGGAGAGAGAGTGGGGGGGGGTTGAGACATAGAGGAGAGAGAGAGAGAGAGAGAGAGAGGACAGAGGGGGTGAGAACTAGAGGGAGAGAGAGAAGAGGGGGGCGTTGAGAAAGAGAGGAGAGAGAGAGAGAGGAGAGTGGGGTTGAGAGAGAGGAGGAGAGAGCGGGGGGGTTGAGAAAGAGAGAGTGGGGGGTTGAGAAATAGAGGAGATGAGAGAGAGACAGAGGGGAGGTGAGAGTGAGGAAATAGAGGAGAGAGAGAGAGGACAGAGGGGGGTGGAGAAAAATAGAGGAGAGAGAGAGGGGGGGGTTGAGAAAGAGAGGAGAAAGAGAGAGGGGGGGGTTGGGAAAGAGAAGAGAGAGAGAGTGGGGGGTTGAGAAAGAGAGGAGAAAGAGAGAGAGGGGGGGGTGGGAAAGAGAAGAGAGAGAGAGTGGGGGGGGTTGAGGAAAAGAGAGAGAGGAGAGGAGAGGGGGTGGGGTGGGAAAGAGAGAGAGAGAGAGTGAGGAGGGAGAGGAGAAAGAGAGGAGAGAGGAGGAGAGAGAGAGAGAGAGAGAGGGATAAGAACGATAGGAGAGAGAGAAAAGAGAAAGAAAGAAAGAGAGGAGATTGAGAACGAGAGAGGGGGGTTGAGAAAGAGAGGAGAGGGAGAGAGAGAGGGGGTTGAGAAAGAGGAGAGAGAGAGCAAGAAAGAGAGAGGCGGTTGAGAAATAGAGAAGAGAGAGAGAGACAGAGGGGGGTTGAGAAAGAGAGGAGAGAGAGAGAGAGAGAGAGAGGGGAGAGAGAGGGGGGGATGAGAAAGAGAGGAGAGAGAGAGAGCGCAAGAAAGAGAGAGGGGGGTTGAGAAATAGAGAAGAGAGAGAGGGGGGTTGAGAAAGAGAGGAGAGAGAGAGGGTTGAGAAAAAGAGGAAAGAGAGAGAGAGAAAGGGTGAGAAAGAGAGGAGAGAGAGAGTTGGGTTGAGAAAGAGAGGAGAGAGAGAGCGGGGTTGAGAAAGAGAGGAGAGAGAGGGGGGGTTGAGAAAGAGAGGAGAGAGAGAGAGAGAGAGAGCGAGAGAGAGAAAGGGTGAGAAAGAGAGGAGAGAGAGAGAGAGTGGGGTTGAGAAAAAGAGGAGAGAGAGGGTGAGAAAGAGAGGAGAGAGAGAGAGAGCGGGGTTAAGAAAGAGGAGAGAGAGAGAGAGCGACCAAGAGAGAGGGGAGAGAGAGGAAACGGATTCAAAGTGCAGCAAAAGTGCAGCACATCTAACCAGCACAATCTAACCGAATGGCAGAACGTTCAGTGCATTCTGAAAGTATTCAGACCCCTTCACTTTTTCCACATTTTGTTACGTTACAGCCTTATTCTAAAATGGATTAAATAAATAAAAATCCTCAATCTACCCACAACACCCCATAATGACAAAGTGTAAACAATTTTTGCAAATGTATTAAAAATAAAACACTGAAATCTCTTATTTACGTAGGTATTCAGACCCTTTACTATGAGACTCGAAATTGAACTCAGGTGTATCCTGTTTCCATTGATCATCCTTGAGATGTTTCTACAACTTGATTGGAGTCCACCTGTGGTAAATTCAGTTGATTGGACATGATCTGGAAAGGCACACACCTGTCTATATAAGGTCCAACAGTTGACAGTGCATGTCAGAGCAAAAACCAAGCCATGAGGTCGAAGGAATTGTCCGAAAAGCTCTGAGAAAGGATTGTGTCGAGGCACAGATCTGGGGAAGGGTACTAAAAAATGTCTGCAGCATTGAAGTCCCCAAGAACAGAGTGGCCTCCATCATTCTTAAATGGAAGAAGTTTGGAGCCACCAAGACTCTTCCTAGAGCTGGCCGCCCGGCCAAACTGAGTAATCAGGGGAAAAGGGCCTTGGTCAGGGAGGTGACCAAGAACCCGATGGTCACTTTGACAGAGCTCCAGAGTTCCTCTGTGGAGATGGGAGAACCTTCCAGAAGGACAACCATCTCTGCAGCACTCCACCAATCAGGCCTTTATGGTGGAGTGGCCAGACGGAAGCCACTCCTCAGTAAAAAGGCACATGACAGCCCGCTTGGAGTTTGCCAAAAGGCACCTAAAAGACCATGAGAAACAAGATTCTCTGGTCTGATGAAACCAAGATTGAACTCTTTGGCCTGAATGCCAAGCGTCACGTCTGGAGGAAACCTGGCACCATCCCTATGGTGAAGCACTGTGGTGGCAGCATCATGCTGTGGAGATGTTTTTCAGCGGCAGGGACTGGGAAACTAGTCTTGATCGAGGGAAAGATGAACGGAGCAAAGTACATTAAGATCCTTGATGAAAACCTGCTCCTCAGACTGGGGTGAAGGTTCACCTTCCAACAGCACAACAACCCTAAGCACACAGCCAAGACAATGCAGGAGTGGCTTCGGGAAAAGTCTCTGAATGTCCTTGAGTGGCCCAGCCAGAGCCCGGACTTGAACACGATTGAACATCTCTGGAGAGACCTGAAAATAGCTGTGCAGTGAAGCTCCCCATTCAACCTGACAGAGTTTGAGATTATCTGCAGAGAAGAATGGGAAAAACTCCTCAAATACAGGTGTGCCAAACTTGTAGTGTCATTCCCAAGAAGACTCGAGGTTGTTATCGCTGCCAAAGGTGCTTCGAATAAAAGTACTGAGTAAAGGGTCTGAATACTTATGTAAATGTGATATTTCAGTTTTGTTTTTGTTATATATTTGCAAAAAAAATCTAAAAACCTGTTTTTATTTTGTCATTATGAGGGGTGAAAAAACAATTTTACGCTGTAACGTAACAAAATGTGGAAAAGGTCAAGGGGTCTGAATACTTTCCGAATGCACTGTATGTAGATGTAGATTGTTATTGATTATTGCATTGTTGGGTTTTGAGTTCGCAAGAAAGGCATTTCACTGTACTTGTGCATGTGACATTAAAACTTGCTTCCATTCAGCCTCAAGAGCATTAGTGAGGTCGGGCACTGATGTTGGGCGATTAGGCCTGCCTCGCATTCGGCGTTCCAATTCATCCCTGAGGTGTTCGATGGGGTTGAGGTCAGGGCTCTGTGCAGGCCAGTCAAGTTCTTCCACACCGATCTCGACAAACCATTTCTGTATGGACCTCGCTTTGTGCATGGGGGCATTGTTATGCTGAAACAGGAAAGGGTCTTCCCCAAACTGTGGCCACAAAGTTGACAGCACAGAATCATCTAGAATGTCATTGTATTCTGTAGCATTAATATTTCCCTTCACTGGAACTAAGGGGACTAGCCCAAAACATGAAAAACAGCCCCAGACCATTATTCCTTCTCCACCAAACTTTACAGTTGGCGCTATGCATTGGGGCAGGTAGCATTCTCCTGGCATCCGCCAAACCCAGATTTGTCTGTCGGACTGCCAGATAGTGAAGCGTGATTCCACTGCTCCAGAGTCCAATGGCAGTGAGCGTTACACCACTCCAGCTGACGCTTGGCATTGCGCATGGTGATCTTAGGCTTGTGTGCGGCTGCTCGGCCATGGAAACTCATTTCATGAAGCTCCCGACGAACAGTTATTGTGCTGACGTTGCTTCCAGAGGCAGTTTGGAACTCGGTGGTGAGTCTTGCAACCGAGGACAGACGATTTTTACGCGGTACACACTTCAGCACTTGGCAGTCCCGTTCTGTGAGCTTGTGTGGCCTACCAATTCGCGGCTGAGTCGTTGTTGCTCCTAGACGTTTACACTTCACAATAACAGCACTTACAGTTGACCGGGGCAGTTCTAGAAGGGCAGATAATTGACAAAATGACTTGTTGGAAAGGTGGCATCCTATGATGGTGCCACGTTGAAAGTCACGGAGCTCTTCAGTAAGGCCATTCTACTGCCAATGTTTGTCTATGGAGATTGCATGGCTGTGTGCTCGATTTTATACACCTGTCAGCAACGGGTGTCTGAAATAGCCAAATCCACTAATTTGAAGGGGTGTCCACATACTTTTGTATATATAGTGTATCTCTACAAGACATGACATCATATCCCAATGTTCCATTGTCAGTACTCATGCTAACTGTATGGCATGCCTAGATTAATATATTAATTTGATCAAATATGAAATAACATTTTATTTAGGACACAGTGCCATTAATTTGTTGAAATATGCCTACTGCTGCACTCATGGGTTTCCATTTGTTGCTGTTGGTATGACTGGTATGCAAAATTGTGTTCGCCTACCTATCTGTGTGGAGAGACCCATATGCAATCATTGACATAAAAGGGTCAGTTATTTCCATTCTACACTGAACAAAAATATAAACACAACATACAACAATTTCAAAGATTTCACTAAGTTACAGTTCACATAAGGAAATCATTAAATTGAAATAAATTCGGTAGGCCTTAATCTATGGATTTCACATGACTGGGAATACAGATATGCATCTATTGGTCACAGATACCTTTAAAATAAAAGGTAGGAGCGTAGATCAGAAAACCAGTCAGTATCTGGTGTGACCACCATTTGCCTCATGCAGTGCGACATCTCCTTCGCATGGAGTTGATCAGGCTGTTGATTGTGGCCTGTGGAATGTTGTCCCACTCCTCTTCAATGGCTGTGCGAAGTTGCTGGATATTGGCGGGAACTGGAACACGCTGTCGTACACGTCGATCCAGAACATCCCAAACATGCTCAATGGATGACATGTCTGGTGTGTATGCAGGCCATGGAAGAATTGGGACATTTTCAGCTTCCAGGAATTGTGTACAGATCCTTCCGACAAGGGGCCTTGCATTACATGCTGAAACATGAGGTGATGGCGGTGGATGAATGGCATGACAATGGGCCTTAGGATCTCGTCACTGTATCTCTGCGAATTCAAATTGCCATTGATAAAATGCAATTGTGTTCGTTGTCTATAGCTTATGACTGCCCATACCATAACCCCACCGCCGCCATGGGGCACTCTGTTCACAATGTTGACATCAGCAAACCGCTCGCCCACACGACGCCATCTGCCCCGTACAGTTGAAACCCGGGATTCATCCATGAAGAGCACACTTCTCCAGCGTGCCAGTAGCCATCGAAGGTGAGCCTTTGCCCACTGAAGTCAGTTATGATGCCGAACTGTATATGCATACATATTAAAAGTTATTAAAGTATTAATTACCAAAATTATGAAGATTCCGGTAACTTTGATAAATTACTGGTAGCATTGCAACCCTACCTATACCTCACCACTGGCACAGAGTTGTTCTCTCTCACATAAGACCCAGCATAATGTCCTCTGTTCTTTCAGAGACAGCAGCCTACCCTGCCAGAGACAGCAGACTACCCTGCCAGAGACAGCAGCCTACCCTGCCAGAGACAGCAGCCTACCCTGCCAGAGACAGCAGCCTACCCTGCCAGAGACAGCAGCCTACCCTGCCTCCCTTAGACCAAACCTTGACCAGACTAAGCACTAATCCATGCATTAAGCTAATGTCTCTAAAAGGGATCCTGATCAAAAGTGCCAGGACGATAGTCTATCTTGCCAACTACTTTGATGAGTTACAAGGAGTTGGCAAGACAGCACAAACAGATCTGGGACCAGGCTATGGAGGTCAAATGTAACAACAATTAGGCTACTTTTTTAATACCTGAAAACCAAAATGTAAACAATGGGATGGCATACAGTAACAAAGACCAAAACAAATCTGCAAAATGTTGGTTTGTTTTTGGTTTATGTAAATTGCTTGAGAAGAAAAAAAGAAAATGCCAGATTTTGTTTCAAGAAGACACACACTAGACATCCACTCTGGGTTTTCTTCAACACAGTTCAGAATTCATACAAAATTGCACATTTATTAAATCCACAGTTTTCCCAAGCTATGTGAATGGGTAGACAGTGTTTGTTTTGTTTTCTGGGAGTGGGAACTTATCAAAAAACTAGTCGAAAGATCAAAATGTCACCCAACGACTTGTCAAAATACTGTATAGAATATATTACATCATAATTGGAATCTTTTAACAAAATGTCCCACACAAGCATTCATTCACATACCCTGTACATAATATCAGATCAAATTAAAACAAAGAAATTAAAAAAGAAACTTCTCAAACAAAATCAAATTTTTAAGTACAATAATTTACAATTTTGAAAAACTAAATAAACCAAAATAACCAGCAAAATGAACAGTCCCTCATTTAAATATTGTCATGATATCGATGACAGCATTTCATCAAAAGAATTTCTTTGCTGCTGCTTCTTGTTGACTTCTGTAGAGGGAGATGAAATAATATGAGAGAGGAGAGGAGAGGAGAGGAGAGGAGAGGAGAGGAGAGGAGAGGAGAGGAGAGGAGAGGAGAGGAGAGGAGAGGAGAGGGAGAGGAGAGGAGAGGAGAGGAGAGGAGAGGAGAGGAGAGGAGAGGAGAGGAGAGGAGAGGAGAGGAGAGGAGAGGAGAGGAGAGGAGAGGAGAGGAGAGGAGAGGAGAGGAGAGGAGAGGAGAGGAGAGGAGAGGAGAGGAGAGGAGAGGAGAGGAGAGGAGAGGAGAGGAGAGGAGAGGAGAGGAGAGGAGAGGAGAGGAGAGGAGAGAAAGGAGAGAGAGAGAGGAGAGAGAGAGGAGAGAGAGGAGAGAGAGAGAGAGAGAGAGAGAGAGAGAGCGAGAGGAGAGTTATGAACGAAACAACACTTGATTTTTTAAATGTATGTTTAAGTGTTATACTATTTTGATATTGGAGACTGCACTGTATGGCTTGCAAATTAAGCATTTCACTGTACTTGTGCATGTGATAAATAAAAACATCTTGCTCTTACTTGTACATAATGTAGCTGAAGAACAGGACTGATTGGATGACCACAAATACCAGGAAGTGTGTGGTACCCAAACAGGAAGGCATTGGAGGAGGGTCAGGGCAGATCACCACCTGCTTTTCACTGGGGCTCTACATGCAGCATAAGACACAAAGATACACTGTAAAAATACTGTAAATATTTATATTCCTCATGTCCTCTCTCTTTACCTCCTTCTCCAAACACATTGGAGGAGAAGGTCTGAGGGAGAGACCCCTTGGATCTTCTCTTCCAATGTGGTGGGCGAAGGAGGCGAAGATCGAGGAATCAAGAAAAGACTTGAGAAAGACGTGTGGAGAACCCCTGAGATTTACAATCTAACAAGCTATTGACAAACCCCATTGCGCGTGATGAGGTGTTCGATGTTCCTCTTGACCACGTGCAGATGTTCCTTGATGTCGTTGAAGTGCTGGACTGTCTCATACGTCCCCATGCCTACTGCGTTGCCCTGATGCTGGCTGGCACCAATCTGTTTCAGAGACTCATAGAACGAGTTTCTGAGGAGAAAAACAAACAAATGGAAGAGTCAGATCTATGTCACTGTTGACCACAGTCCACACTGCAGTAGAAACATACATACAGTAGGAACATTTGGAAAGATTTAGCAATTTTCTACATCTCAACATCAGCACACCAGAAAGGCTAGCTAAGAAACCCCCAGCCCAAGGTAAACAACATCTGAAGTAGGCAACAACATGGAATGAATTCCAGCTAATACAGAATGAAGAGGATTCATTGAATATCTCGATGTCTTCGTATACCTAAATAATCTAAATGAGGTATGTGAACTTGAAGTCTAAGGTATTTCGGAGATGATTGAATTAAGGTTGGAGGACGTGTTTTCCCTGTGATAGTGTGTCAAATCAAATCAAAGTTTATCGGTCGCGTACACCGATTTGCAGATGTTGTCGCTGCTAGCTCCAAAAGTGCAGCAATGCCTAGCAATAAAAATAACAACACACATAATCCAGAAGAAAAAATAATCTAGGATGAGTCTAGACTAGAATACAGTATATACATATAAAGTGGGTAAAACAGTATGTAAACATTATTAAAGGGACCAGTGTTCAATGACTCTATGTACATGGGGCAGCAGTCTCTAAGGTGCAGGGTAGAGTACCGGGTGGTAGCCGGCTAGTGACAGTGACCTAAGGTTCAAAGCAAGGTACTGGGCGGAGGCCAGCTAGTGGTGACTGTTTAACAGTCTGACGGCCTGGAGATAGAAGCTGTTTTTTAATCTCTCGGTCCCAGCTTCGATGCACCTGTACGGTCTCCGCCTTCTAGATGATGTGAGGGTGTGAATGTGTGACCCAGACAGTCAGACAGGTTTATCCATGTGGTAAAGCTACTGGACAGTTCTCTGGGAACAACGCCCAGAACACTTATCCCAATTAAGAGGGAGATGAGACAGAGAGGGTGGGCAAGCACACGTGACCACTACACACAGGCCGATATACTACACACACTGCATGTGTCCCTTATATGATGCATACGTTATATTATATATTTTATGTTATCCAAACCATATCTCTGCCTTTGATACTGTGAACAATCAGATCCTTCTCTCTACCCTCTAGGAGTTGGGCATCTCCGGCGCGGCTCACTCTTGGATTGCGTCCTACCTCACAGGTCGCTCCTACCAGGTGGCGTGGCCACCTTTTGATAACCAGGTGGCGAATCGCATCTCTGCATGTCTGGCAGAGATATCAGTGTGGATGACGGATCACCACCTCAAGCTGAACCTCGGCAAGACGGAGCTGCTCTTCCTCCCGGGGAAGGACTGCCCGCGCCATGATCTCGCCATCATGGTTGACAACTCCGTTGTGTCCTCCTCCCAGAGTGCAAAGAACCTTGGCGTGACCCTGGACAACACCCTGTCGTTCTCCGCTAACATCAAAGTGGTGACCCGATCCTGTAGGTTCATGCTCTACAACAGTCGCAGAGTACGACCCTACCTTACACAGGAAGTGGCACAGGTCCAAATCCAGGCACTTGTCATCTCCCGTCTGGGTTACTGCAACTCGCTGTTGGCTGGGCTCCCTGCCTGTGCCATTAAACCCCTACAACTCATCCAGAACGCTGCAGCCCGTCTGTTGTTCAACCTTCCCAAGTTCTCTCACGTCACCCCGCTCCTCCGCACACTCCACTGGCTTCCAGTTGAAGCCTGCATCTGCTACAAGACCATGGTGCTTGCCTACGGAGCAGTGAGGGGAACGGCACCTCCGTACCTTCAGGCTCTGATCAGTCCCTACACCCAAACGAGGGCATTGCGTTCATCCACCTCTGGCCTGCTGGCCCCCCTACCTCTGCGGAAGCACAGCTCCCGCTCAGCCCAGTCAAAACTGTTCGCTGCTCTGGCACCCCAATGGTGGAACAAGCTCCCTCACGACGCCAGGACAGCGGAGTCACTCACCACCTTCCGGAGACACTTGAAACCCCACCTCTTTAAGGAATACCTGGGATAGGATAAAAGTAATCCTTCAACCCTCCCCCTACCCCACCCCCCTCCAAAAAAAGATATATATATACAGTGGGGGAAAAAAGTATTTAGTCAGCCACCAATTGTGCAGGTTCTCCCACTTAAAAAGATGAGAGAGGCCTGTAATTTTCATCATAGGTACACGTCAACTATGACAGTCAAAATGAGGAAAAAAATTCCAGAAAATCACATTGTAGGATTTTTTATGAATTTATTTGCAAATTATGGTGGAAAATAAGTATTTGGTCAATAACAAAAGTTTCTCAATACTTTGTTATATACCCTTTGTTGGCAATGACACAGGTCAAACGTTTCTGTAAGTCTTCACAAGGTTTTCACACACTGTTGCTGGTATTTTGGCCCATTCCTCCATGCAGATCTCCTCTAGAGCAGTGATGTTTTGGGGCTGTCGCTGGGCAACACGGACTTTCAACTCCCTCCAAAGATTTTCTATGGGGTTGAGATCTGGAGACTGGCTAGGCCACTCCAGGACCTTGAAATGCTTCTTACGAAGCCACTCCTTCGTTGCCCGGGCGGTGTGCTTGGGATCATTGTCATGCTGAAAGACCCAGCCACGTTTCATCTTCAATGCCCTTGCTGATGGAAGGAGGTTTTCACTCAAAATCTCACGATACATGGCCCCATTCATTCTTTCCTTTACACGGATCAGTCGTCCTGGTCCCTTTGCAGAAAAACAGCCCCAAAGCATGATGTTTCCACCCCCATGCTTCACAGTAGGTATGGTGTTCTTTGGATGCAACTCAGCATTCTTTGTCCTCCAAACACGACGAGTTTAGTTTTTACCAAAAAGTTATATTTTGGTTTCATCTGACCATATGACATTCTCCCAATCCTCTTCTGGATCATCCAAATGCACTCTAGCAAACTTCAGACGGGCCTGGACATGTACTGGCTTAAGCAGGGGGACACGTCTGGCACTGCAGGATTTGAGTCCCTGGCGGCGTAGTGTGTTACTGATGGTAGGCTTTGTTACTTTGGTCCCAGCTCTCTGCAGGTCATTCACTAGGTCCCCCCGTGTGGTTCTGGGATTTTTGCTCACCGTTCTTGTGATCATTTTGACCCCACGGGGTAAGATCTTGCGTGGAGACCCAGATCGAGGGAGATTATCAGTGGTCTTGTATGTCTTCCATTTCCTAATAATTGCTCCCACAGTTGATTTCTTCAAACCAAGCTGCTTACCTATTGCAGATTCAGTCTTCCCAGCCTGGTGCAGGTCTACAATTTTGTTTCTGGTGTCCTTTGACAGCTCTTTGGTCTTGGCCATAGTGGAGTTTGGAGTGTGACTGTTTGAGGTTGTGGACAGGTGTCTTTTATACTGATAACAAGTTCAAACAGGTGCCATTAATACAGGTAACGAGTGGAGGACAGAGGAGCCTCTTAAAGAAGAAGTTACAGGTCTGTGAGAGCCAGAAATCGTGCTTGTTTGTAGGTGACCAAATACTTATTTTCCACCATAATTTGCAAATAAATTCATTAAAAATCCTACAATGTGATTTTCTGTGTGATATATATATATATAGTAAAGTGGTTGTCCCACTGGCTATCATAGGGTGAATGCACCAATCTGTAAGTCGTTCTGGATAAGAGCTTCTGCTAAATGACGAAAACGTAAATATATATACAGTGTCTATATATCTCTATATACAGTATCTATCTATCGCTCTCTATATATACAGTATCTATCCACCTCTAGTCAACGGTGTGCATAGCAAAACAAAATAATTTGTGAGGATGGCTGGATCACAGCTCCTCCACTCCAAAAGTTTGATGAGAAATAATAATAATAATAATAATAATAATATGCCATTTAGCAGACGCTTTTATCCAAAGCGACTTACAGTCATGACTGTAAACATACTGTAATGAACAATTTATCATCTTAATATTATAGCGAATAGTCCAAATTCATCCTTAATTCTCTTTTGCTTTCAAAAGTTAATTTATCCTCCAACCCCAAAAAATATCATGAATAATGATTGCTAAATTAATCTCCTCTAAAAACACGTTAACCCAGATATACTGTATCTGCAATCTAGCAAAGTTACATTATAGACATAATGTATTGACACCACTTATAACTAAGACCATAAGCATTCATTTTAGCCAAATTTAAAGGCAAATTTAGGATTTGTAATCTCTTAAATGGGTTGTGATGCATTTGACAGTTTACTGAGTATACAATACTCCTGGACAGGGCTTGATTAAGAATTCATAGGCCCCGGGGCTTTGTTTATTTTTTAGCAGTAGTGCTGAGCGATTAACCAACATTTCTGTTATTTGTCCGTTTTTAAACAACTAATTGACCTACATCGGTTCAATTATTTGAATTCCATTTTGTTCCGTTTTTCCCCCGTGAGCTCAATGAGCACATCGCACAGTTTCTCTAGAGATAAATCAGATCCAAACTGAACTGTGCGATTTAGTAGGGAGTTGTAGTTTCCAACAGGCCAATATCCTACATAGTTTAGCGCATAAAACGTGGTAATTAACTACAATGACCATAATCCATTGCGCATCTACTTGTCCGGTGGTCAGTGTTTACGCCTGATACAGAAGAGGCAGAAGAATCCAATCGTGAGTGGAGAGAGAGAGCAGCTGTCGCTTCACCAGGTATCTCTACCTGAAAATACATGATCTAAGTGATTGGCAGTTGGTATCTCTACCTGAAAATACATGATCTAAGTGATTGACAGTTGGTATCTCTACCTGAAAATACATGATCTAAGTGATTGATAGTTGGTATTCAGCAGTCATAAATGTATACCTTATTTACTTTGAAGAACTACTAAAATAGTGATTTAGTCAGACAGCATAGGCAGCAGCTCTATAGAGATGAGATGATGACTTGGAATGAAATAAAGTCATCAAATAAAACAAATGTAATATACACAACAACTGAAATATTTTATTAAAGTAATGTGAATAAATGATTAGTAGGTGATAAGCAGTAATGGGCAGTCACTACCATCATGGGACTTGTATTAATTGTTTTATTCT